ACTTCAGACTGCTTCATGCCTAGGGGATAAAGTACAACAGTTAAAGAATAATAAGACAGTTCAAGATTAGAGCCATTAATATTTTTTGTTTACTATTTTTATTTAATCAAACTCTACTCCATTTTCTTTAATGAACACTACTCTTCAAGCTGTACTTTATCCTTACCTATTGTTGCTACAATCCTAATTTAGGCTTCATTTTTCTCATTACATTGCAAAACTTGCCCGCACTTCCACCAACTTTGACTTCTAAATACTACTTTTCCCATCCCCTTCATTCCCATCCCTTCTCAGTTTCCACCTGTTTGGTCCAGGACAGGATAGTTGCAAAGCAATGGCTGTTACTTGGCAGGGACTGCTTCAGGAAATTTTTGTTAACCCCATCCAATATTGGGCTTCCCTGGTAGCTCAGATGGTAACGAATCCGCTTGCAATGCAAGAGAACTGGGTTCAATCCCTGGGATGAGAAGATTCCCTGGAGGAGAGCATGGCAACCCACTCCAGTATTACCGCCTGGAGAATCCTCATGGACAGAGGAGCCTGGACAGTCCATGGGGTCGCAGAGAGTCGGACATGACTGAGCAACTAAGCACAGCACAGCACAGCACCCGACGTTAGGAAATGTCTCAACCTAGGCTGGTTAGGGATCCACCCCCTCCCAAGGGGACGTAGCAGTTTGGGTACATTCGGCATCCATCAGGCCAGAGCAGCTCACTACACTCTCTTAAAAGCCCTCTTATCACTGATTCTCTTCCTTCTTCCGTCTTATCAGCTTCTCTTATTTTTCTTAATGTCTAAATGTTGGACAGCCTCAGTGTTTAATTCTGGGCATTTTCTCTCTCCATCACTGGGTCCAATGCTTCCCAAAGTTCAATCATATGTATATTGTCTTCATGATTTTTGACATCCCTCAGTAATTATTACTAGTTTTCTTTAAATGGATAAGATTTTTTAAACTCATGTATTTGAAAAAAAGATTTTATATCACAACTATAGAGAAAAATTTGATATCATAAATAGAAGATAATCTAAAAATAAACCTCAAAGTACATAAATGCAATCTTCATAGATTTAAAATAATCAATAAAGACAAGTCATTATCTATATATATATATATATATATACACTAAAATGCACAGCCCAAAGTTAGTTACTAATGAGAACTGAGCTGTTCACAATTAGTCAAGAAGACAAGTATCTATCTATATATATATATATATATATATACTAAAATGCACAGCCCAAAGTTAGTTACTAATGAGAACTGAGCTGTTCACAATTAGTCAAGAATACTGACTGGATGTTTGGCATCACGTTTCTTCTCATGCTTACAGTCAAGGAACCTGAAGACCATGAGGGAAGATAATTTACCAAAAATCAAAGTAGAGGCAGAGCTGGAGCCATGGCCCAAGACAACTGAACTGCAGTTTCAGAGAGTGGTCTCAAGGAAGGAGAATTCAGAAACACTGGCTCCTTGGGGGTATCAGCGTTCAGTCAGGGGAGAGAAGCTTGGTGCATGGTACAGTAAAAAAAAAAAAAAAAAAGTTAAGTGCTAAAGTCTAAAAAGGTTGTGGTCACATTGCAAACAGGCCAGTTAAGCCATGTTACTATATACCTATGACTTTACCCTTTGAACCTGTTTCCTAGCATAATTCAGGAACTGTAGAATTGTGAGAAATCAGACACACAGTACTGATTGCTTAGCCCAGTGGTTAGTAAGTCAGTAGCAGTTTCCTTTCTTCCTCTCCCATCTTTTTATCACCAACACTGCCAAAGACCCACGCACCAACCAGCTCTATCTCCTTTCGAAGATACAGCTAATTTCCCTCCATCACTGCCTGGTGTCCAGTGCTGGGACAAAGGACCTCACCTGTGCTGGGCTGGTTGGCAAGGCGCTGCAGCAGCTTCCTAGTATCTTTTGTGGGTTGAGTCTGTAAAGACTGAAGATGGCCTAGAGGCAAATTCGGCAGCCTCAGATAGTCCCCAATTTTCAGTTGCAAAGGGAGAGCTGCAGGCTCTAGGGAGTAGTATATGAGGCCAAGGATATTCTCAGGTTCCTGATTCAGTAAATGCTGAGGCCTCTTAGGAAGTTAAACCCAAAAAAAAGCCCTGGCAGAGCAGGGCTGTGGGGAACCTAAAGTCAAGCAGAGGAAGCTGAAACTGGCACTTTCAGGCATATCTTGAGATTCCATGTATCCCTGAAAAGTCAATATGTTTCTGGATTCTTCTTGATACCAAGGAAGACAGATGGTAAAGCAACCAGGAGACTGCCAATTAGGAAGAAGTAGTTGACCACACACAGTGAAAATCTCCTGGAAATTGCAGCTAGATCTCAGGAAAGATGCATGATGCCATCAAGTGCAGGATGGGTCCAAGTTGGCAAACCACTGGAGATGGACTAAGCTGGGTGAACTAGCCACGAGTCCCTGAGTATCACACCTCAGCATCAGACACCCAGCAACAAGGCAAAGAACAGAGACTGAAAAGACCAGAGAAGCAAGAACACCCCTGAAAGAGCTTGTGGATACGCAGCCACGGACACTTCTTTTCAATCATTATGACTCCAGATCATCACACCCACATGGCATGCAAAGGGAGCGGAGAAAGAAATGTGAAATATGGGGCATATATCCAAGAAACCAAATCATCAAAGATGTGACTTAGCAAAGACTTGAGATAATGTTAACTGACAAGTTAAAAATTTTTTCCCCATAGCTCCCATAGTGAAGTAGAGCCCAGGGTAAGATTAGCTCAGTTTTGGGGGTTCTTGGAGGGGTGGGGTGGGAGGAGTACATTCATCTAAGCAAAGTCCTAAATTTTCAATTTCAGGACATTCTGTACCTTTACTGTATTTTTCAACACTTTGAGAACAGAGACTATTTTCACGTATCAGGCACGTATCAGGCATTCAACATTTGTTGAAAAAATGAAAAGGATGAATGACCCTAAATAAATGGCTGATTCTGGAACAGTACAGTCTAGGTTTTAGTTATTCGCATATACCAACTCACCAATTTTCCCAAGGTTTAAAAACACATACTGGAAATAAAATTCTTTCACTTTACACAACTTCTTAGAACATAAATATAAAATCCTGGAATAATTTACCTAAGAGATTTTACAGCAGGCAGAAGCAGGAGATTTTGTTAGATCTTTGCAATTTGTTAATGACCTCTAAACCAGATAGCCCCCACAATGCTAATTCAAATTGTTGGAAACACGTCTGGACCATGAAGCAATCACCTTAAAGATTGAAAGTGAAAGTTGCTCAGTCCTGTGCAACTCCTTACGACTCCATGGACTATACAGTCCATGGAATTCTCCAGGCCAGAATACTAGAGTGGGTAGCCTTTCCCTTCTCCAGGGATCTTCCCAACCCAGGGATAGAACCCAGGTCTCCCACATTGCAGGCGGATTCTTTACCAACTGAGCCACAAGGGAAGCCCTCAAAAATTCAAAGAAACTCAGTATTCCCTCCATAGACATCCCAAAAGTAATCAAACCAAATTTAAAAATGCAAATAAAAAATACTTTAGACCCTTAAAAAGATGTATCCTCTACTACTCCAGAACTCTAAACAGTCAAGACCAACTTTTCCTAAACCAGTTCTTTCATACAGAATTACTCGACTAGGTGTGATGACCCATGTAATAAATGCAGTCATGTATCATCACACTCCCTTTGGACTTTTTATAAGCCCAAAAACCTTTTTATAAAAGGTCACTGTCTGCCTGTCAGATCCTTAGCATGTCAGGTATTTTCAGAACCAAAGCATCTAGAAAAAGCATTATACTAAAGTTGTACCTACCTGTTTTAAATCATCTTTAGTATAGACAGTGGTTAAGAATACACTGCCTTATTAGTGATTGGATTCCAGTGGCTCTATTTACTTCACCATAAACACGATTTCCCCACCTTTAAAATGGGGATAATGATATTTTCCCAGTGGAGCTGTCGTGAGGATTAAATGAGTAATTATTTGTAAAGCACTCAGAACAGTGCCTGGCAACAGCCAGTACGATAGTGTGGGGATTAAGACCATAATCCCAACAGAATCTCATGGGTTTAAATTTAAACGCCCTTAAAAAGCAGATAAATCAAAACTGTCGCATTTTCTAGACACTCCCTAATTAGTTGCTCGAGGCTTTCAAAGTATTTATAACACGGCAGATAGCAGGGAAGGTAAACTCAACAGAAAAGAGACAGAGGGAAAAAAGGAATACAGGTTGTTCGCTAATTGCATTAGAAAATTCTCCGTTCAAAAATTCGCGTATGAATGCCCTCCTTGGTCATTCTGTGCGATTATACATTTTTTTCAAAACAAGATTTTGTTTTTAAGAGAAACTAACCCGCACGCAATCTAAGAGGCGGGGCAGGCGGGGCGGGCGGGGAAGGGTGGGGAGAAAGCATTTCCCTGAGCCCAACGGAGACCTGGGTGAACAGGGGACGCTTAAACGTTAGCGTTTCTAGAGAGTCGGTAACTAAGATCTCACAGAAGCGGTCAATCATTCGAATTATCAGAAAAACAGCAAGCGTTACGAGGCCTCAGGCCCAGGCTGAACTTGCCCACAGGCAACCCCAAGCATCCAGGGGTAAAGCTGAGCCTCCGAGCCGACCCGGGCGTATTGCTGCGCCCAGATAGCGAGCTCCGCGTCTCCCCGTGGAGAACCAGAGGCTTCCTCCGCACGCTTTCCCGGTGCTTTCGAGATCCAGGAGAAAGAGAAAGCCAGGTAAGTACACCTCCAAGCGAACAAGAGCTAATAGCCGAAGCCCCGAACCCGACCGTACGCCCGACACCCGTAAAACGCGCGGGCGCAACAGCCACTGCCACGGCGGAAGCGGGAGGGGCGGGGCTCCGGGTGAGGCGGGCGTTTCCGGCGTGCGCGACGGAGCGCTCGGGCGGGGGCAGCGCCGGCTCCCAATCGCGCACAATGAGACAGCGCTGAGCGCCGGAAGTGGGGCTGAAGGAAAACACGGAGAGGGAGCCCGGCCGGGACAGGAAGAGGCGGGGGGCCGCGGCGGAGGTGGTGAGTGTTCCTGGGCGCCTTTCCCGCTGTGTCCCTTTCAGACTCGCGTCCGGGGTGGCTCTCCGGTGCGTTCTCCGGTCTCCAGAGTTGAGGGCGGGCCTGGCCCGAGAGGTACGTTGACTCCATCCTCTGCCGGCCTCCTCACTTCAGTTGCGAGGACCAGGGATCCCCCAGGCCAGCGAGGACTGAGCTCTCGGGCTTGAGTCCGCACCTTCACTTTGTATCAAACCCCTCGGAGACTGGAGAAAAAGGGATCGGGGTGGAGGCACTCGCCCCCAGGCCCCTGTCTGGCCGGGAGGGACCCCGGAACCCCATCGAGGAGGCAGGTCACTTCCTGCTTCCTGGTCCCCGCGGTGGCTTCGTGGCCAGGAGTGCGGAGACGCCTCCTGTTTCTCGGTCTCCCACTCAAAGGATGGAAACTGAGGCAGATCGGGGGTGGGGCGGTCACCTGGGGATCGAGGAGGGAGAATTGCTGTTTCATGACAAAACCGAAGTTGTTTGGGGTGGGGAAATGAAGACTGGGGTGGATACCGGGAGTTGTCCCTTGGTCGTAAAGCCAGCCCCTCTGACCCGAGCGGAGCCTTGGTCGGAAGCCCAGCCTCTCTGTAGCCCAAGGGATCGGAGCCTGTCGTTCTGTATAGTGGAGAGCGGAGCCGAGGCCCCAGGATACCGAGAAGGGACTGAAAAGTGGAGTCGAGAGATGTACTGCCTCCACAAAGTTTCGGTTACTCTATTAACACTTAAAAGTAATTGCCAGCTTGTTTTTTAAAAGACTGGGGAGTTCTCTGTAGTATAGTATAGTTCTCTGAGGTATTTGGGTTTTTTTTGGGGGGGGGGGGCCCGAGGTTCTGAAGAAAAGAGCTTTCGTTATATAGGTAAACGCCAACCAGCTTGGTATGAGTGACATTTTTTAATATTAGTTTTTAGGACAGATTTAGTTTTCATCTTCATATTAAATAGTACTAATTTCTATGAAGATATTATAAAACTAAGCCTCCCGCTTCTAACATAATGCACTGATTATTGGAATGTGATGGAAATTAGGGAAAGGGTTTCTTGCAGGCTTTTATGCATCTAAGTGTGTAATATTTTGTGAATTTGATATGATGTCTTGTTATAGTGATAGTTTGATGTTTCTCCAAAACACCTTCTTTCAGGTGAAGAGGAAGAAAACTGAAGTCAAAGACCATGGGAGATGCCACAAAACCTTACTTTGTGAGGCGTCCTAAAGAGCGAGGGACTACAGATGATGAGGATTTCAGAAGGGGTCACCCCCAACAAGATTATTTAATAATGGATGATTATGCTAAAGGCCATAGCAGTAAAATGGAAAAAGGCCTTCCCAAAAAAAAAGTAACACCAGGGAACTATGGGAATACCCCCAGAAAAGGACCGTATGCTGTTTCTAGCAATCCATATGCATTTAAGAACCCAATTTACAGTCAACCCACTAGGCTCAATGACAACCACAAAGATCAGAGTAAGAGATGGCTCTCTGATGAACTTGCCAGTAATTCAGACTGTTGGAGAGAATACAAACCTGGACCTAGAATCCCTGTTATAAACAGACCAAGAAGAGACTCTTTTCAGGAAAGTGAAGATGGATATAGGTGGCAAGATGGAAGAGGCTGCAGAACTGTAAGACGACTATTTCATAAAGAGCTGGCAAACCTGGACACCATGTCAGAAATGGAAGCGGGAAGCCCTGGTAATGTTTCCAACTTGTCAAGTTACAACCCTGAAGTCAGCAATGTCTTATTTTTCATTCAGAGGAGCTTTATTATTTTCAGCAATGCAGTTCCAATTTTTCATAGTTTTGGCTTATTTAATGTGATTATTTTAAGGATAATCATGTTATTTGGAAAGCTTCAACACACTGCATATATTGATTCCTTTAAAAGTTTACTTTGCCACAAGGCTCGTTTTACCTTAGTAAAAGTATGTTTCCCATTGGTGCTTTTTACAGAAGAGGGTGATCTTATCCCCCTAGGGATATATCATAATTTCTGAGTGGTATGTATGTGTTTTCTAAATTATATATTGTAATTTTGTACTTGAAATAATGTATGTCTCCATAATATAAATGACAGAATGTAAAGCTTAAAGAAAACTTATTTGATATAAAAGCATAGTATAGATTGCATGTATCTTCTGGTACAGAGGGATACACATCTTTTGTGTGAAATATCAATGTCTAGAGGAGGAGAGTGCAAGATTTTTTTTTTCTCAAAAGTGAACATAGCAAACAGGTTGAAAAACATTGGTTAAAAAGTCAGAAATTCAGTTAAAAGCTTTGCCTTTTAGTTTCAGTAAAACCAAAACCCAATTCTAAGCACCCTATGTGCTTAATAATTGCCCCAATGTTATTTATCCCTTCTTCTAAAAAACAAATAGATTTTGTCCACGTAGCAGAGAAACAGAAGAATCAAACAGCCTTGTAAATCTTTAAGCTGAAAAGAACTTGAAGGAATTGCAGCGCTGTCATGATGTATCAAAGGTAGAATCACAGTTTTACAGAGCAGGTAGCTGTGTCTCCAGAGAGGTTAAATTTGTTCCTACTTGTTTACGCAAAGTGGTAGATGAGGAAGTGGGACTGAAATCATGTACTGTGCTGCTCTGGCCATGAACTTGGCCTCACTGACCTGGAATCTGACAGAGAAATGAACACATAATTTCTGGCCTTTGAAGTTTGTGTATATTTAAGTAGTTCTTTATTACTGTGTCCAAGTGGGACATGGACATTTTAATTTAGTTATCAATTGTTGGTCTTTCAGAAAAGGTTGATTTTGAGCAGCATTATAAAAGGAAAGGTTTACAGCTCAAAAGTTTGCCACCAGGTAGATATTACAAGAGGCTGAAAACCTGTTTTTATGTATTCCTGTCTAGTCTTAAAAGGAAACCTTAAGTGATATTGAATGGGACCTGCAGTTTTACTATCTTTTTGTTGAAGTCAATCCAAAACACTGATGTTTTCTCTATATGAAATTACGGGCGTTTGCTTTCAGTTTGGAAATGAAGGACTGTTCAGTTTTTATCCTTTAAAAATCTTCACAAAGAAAATATTAAGCTTTGGCATAATATTACTTACTGTAGCAAGAAGTTCAGTTTATAGTATAAGCTTTGCACTGTACTCAGAGTATCCTTAAAAGGCTCTCATTAAAGGAACTGAAATTTTCTTAAATCAAACTCATACCTTAATAACAAAGGTTCTTATTAAAGGATATGAAAAGATGTAATGAAAATTATCATAGCATTGCTTTGTTTTTTGATACTAGCTTTCTATTTTTCAGTTCACTTTACTGCCCCTACCTACTTCATTCCTCAAATATCCTAGATTGCCAATTTAATATAGTTGGGACAGTGCCATTAATGATCTTAGCTGGAAACATCCATTCAAATACATGTATCTTTTGTAAATGGAATAATGGACCATATTCAAATAAAATATGAGAAACTTGGAATACTGTATGTAGAGAATTCATATTACTACCTAGAGCCTGGAAGGAGCCAGGTAGTCCATCCTCTAAGTAATTACGGAAAGTTTTTTTAGCAATACCCAGCTTTGCCTTCCTCGATTCCCTCCAATGAGATTTTATTTGACTGTTTTTACCATGCAGGCCTATGAAATTCAGTTTAGGATTTTGTATACCTTGTCAGTTCTGGTTAATTTAATTTATTTGTTTATTTTACAGAGTAAAAGGGAGTTCTAGTCTGTTTTAGATGTGAATAGCTTTCCTACAAGAAAGGATTTTTCTTGTATTGTTAGATGAATTTCAGAAATCTATCATGCTCTAATCTCTGCTTCAAATCCCTTTATTTACTTTAGTCATGTGTGCCTGGACAAGGTACTTACTTTCTTGGACCACATTTTCTGCATCTGTATCCTGGGGATAATATTAGCATCCATGATAGGATCACTTTAGGGATTAATCTGAAGCCACCTAGGGTACTTATGTTGCATCTGTTGCATGAAAAAATACTTAATATTGGTAGCTGCAGTTGTCATCATCAGGCAAAATCTCTGCAGCCCTCCACTTCTCTTTGTAAAGTTAACTGTACTCTTGGGGAGAAATTAAAGTCACTCTTTCTAGAAAAATTATATAGCAAATAGAGCGAGAAGCCTTTGTAATCAAGAGAGAAGTGAGAAAAGGAATTTGGTTCCATATCAATTTTGTTTTGGTGAACCAACAGTGGATTTTTAAAAGATTGTGCTAATTTAGTTGGGAATAGAGGAAGTGTGAAAAAACAATAGACTGATTTTAACTATTTGTCTTTTACTATTTTGTTTGGTCCATTTTGATTCCTATTAAAAAAAAAAGCTATTTGTACTAATAGTTCTTTATTTTTTTTAATTGCTGCTTTATCATAGTATTGAAGTTGTTTGCAGAATTTAATTATATTCATCTCAGGGTAGTTTGAGTACGTTGCGTGCTGCTTTTCCTTCGGAGCTGTTAGTGATAGCTTTTTTTTTTTAAATTAAGGATCCTATACCTCCCTTTCCTGACATAATTTCTTTTCAATCAACTGATTCATTGTACCTGCTCTACAAGTAATGAGTTCCACTGAAAACCTGTCATGGCAGCTGCTTCATGCAGAGCATTTCAGTTTGTTTATATTTTCAGAGAATAATTTTTGGTAAGCCATTTAAAAACTATTCAGTCCACTTAATCATAGTTTTAATTGAGGAAATGAATTTCATTTTACTTTTATATGGTACTAGCAACTTCATTTTCAGAACTTGATGGAAATTACCGAAGCTATTTAGAACAGTTTTTTTTTTGTAGATGAATTGCACAAACGTCTTCAGTTTTACTGAAGTTGAAAACTCCTGAGTCTTAAAAAAGGAACAGATTCATTTATCAGTTATAAGGACTGTAGAACTAACAGCGGAGTTTATAAGCAGATGAATTAGTCTGTACTTGCAGAAAGCTTTTATTTCCATTGCTAATTTGTTTTTGTTTTTTCATTTGAAATGTTCTCTGTGCAGGCTCATCAAAGAAGCTAAAATGAAAGTAAAGATAAAATGGTTAATAGTTGTCTTCAGTAAATAAAATTTTGGCTTCAATTTCTTGAGTTTAACGTGGGGGAGGGCCCAATTCTATGATTGCCCGATTTACAGATAATGAAGTTGATTTCTGATTTCTTTGGAGATATACTGTCCATCTTTACTCCATTGGGGTTGTATACTTACAAAAAATAAAAGCAAATGTGGACAGTTTTCTTTAGAATACCAAGTATCCTTACAGGTATATTAGAAATTATTAAATATATGTGCATCATACATTATATTATGATGTATTAATTACATTAGAATTACTGATGTATTTGCTTTCAAGTGATAATTTTTACTATTGCTTGAAAAAGTTCAGCAGTATACCAGGAAGAAATGATAGAATCAGATTTTATGGTTGAAGTAGAAGTCTTTGTTTTCCAAAAAGATGGCTTCTGTGGATTAGTGTATCCACATGTTGAGGTGTTTAGTGAGCAGTTAAGCATTTTATCCATGGGAGAGGTGTACCGTCCCTTTTGCTCTGTGTTCAGGTGTCATTCAGTTATCACGTGATTTCATGAATAAATATGTTAGCTCTGCTTTGGACTTGGGAGTGGTGTTATTCCGTATCGCCAATAATATTTTCCCCCTAACTTAAGAAAACAAGAAGCCGAGGTCCAGACCTCGGAAGCCACGGAGAACTAGAAATGACGAAAATGAACAGGATGGAGACTTGGAAGGCCCTGTGATCGATGAGTCTATGCTTTCAACGAAGGAGCTGCTGGGCTTACAGCAGGCTGAGGAGCGGCTGAAAAGAGACTGCATCGACAGGCTGAAAAGGGTAACCGCTTTATTTGTTAGTTAAAATCCTTGTTTTGGTTTAAACTATGTTAGTAATTGGAACATGTGCTTTAATCAATTATATATCCTACTTTGGTATTTAAGCACTATAGAGCAAAAGTGATATTCAGTTTGATTTAATAAAGTTTCCTTTTTTTTTTTCCAGAATTTCTTGTAAAAAACAATTACTAGCGTAATGATAGTGACAGTAATTTATTAACAATTTAATAAGTATATAGGAAATATCTTTTGGCCAGCTTTTGTTTACCTGTATTTTGTCTCTGTACATCTTGTTCTCTACATGTCTCTATAAATACGTATTTATATGCAAATATATACATGTCGGTAAATCTCTTCAAATTGTAGCGACCAAGAAACTACCCTTCAGCAAAGTACACCTGCAAACTTTGTGATGTTTTAATTGAATCCGTTGCATTTGCTCATAAGCATATCAAAGAGAAGAGGCACAAGAAAAACATTAAGGTAAGTGTAATGTAACCTAAACACATGTTTGTCAATTATTACTTGTCATCTTTATGACTTTGCTTAAGACTGTGATACTAATAATTTGGTTATTTATATTGCTGAGTTTATGTTAACCAGAATACTTTATACTGGTCAGATATGTTTTGCTGGGTAATCTTGTGAATTTCCTTAGGACAGTATCAGGACGAATGAAGCCAATGCTAGGACCTAGATATGTGTCCTTATGCCAATAATAACAAAGTAAATAATTTGCCATTGCTGTTTCTAATGTTCTTTCCTTACACTTTTTCCTTATTCCTCCCTTCCCTCTATTATCATTTTATGTGCATAAAGAAGTGTGTGCGTGTTTGATAAGATGAAGACTAACACAGCTAAAGGGAGAAGGAGGGCTGAGAAAAATATTCGAGAGTACTGTACAGGGTGTTGTCTCAGTGACTGGTAGAAGGTAAAAATGGTGTGAGTCATTTTTAATCTCAACATTGATCTTAAAAGGAGAAGCAAGAGGAAGAGTTGCTCACCACGTTACCCCCGCCTACACCCTCCCAGATAAATGCAATTGGTATTGCCATTGACAAAGTGGTACAGGAGTTTGGCTTACACAATGAGAACTTGGAACAGAGACTAGAAATTAAACGTATCATGGAAAGTGTGTTCCAACACAAGTTACCAGGTATTTTCTAGATTTGTTTTTCTTTTTAGCTACCTAAAATTACCCCATTCATTTTTCTTACCATTAGTTAATTTTTGCCTAATACAAATCAATTTGCCATGTTCTGAAGCTCTCAATTTTTCGTTTTTTATGTTTTTGTTTTTCCTGACTTACCCTAGGGTAGCAAAGACTTTTACATATGTTGTTATTAACCTGTCTTCATTGTGAGTTTCACTGTGTTCGTTTACATGTCCCATATTATTAGAGCACCGTGGGACTCTTATGTATATATTTTGTTTACCTTTCTATTTATTTTCCATCTCTAAGTTCAGTTCCTTTTTTAGTTGAAATATAATTGGCTTACAGTATATCAGTTTTAGGTGTACAGCATAGTGATAACAATATTTTTTGTACATTACAAAATGATCACCACACCTTTCTACCTATGTACATTGACAGAATATTTTGAGTGTCCTGGAGTCATTTTCAAGTTATCTCTGTTCAGAAAAGGTTCTGTTTAACCATGCTTAAAAGAATTGCACCATCTAAAATGAGCTTTGAAAACTATTTTATAATAAATTTTGTGCACTGTTGAATTGATGTTTCCAAGTTATATCTATGGAGCCATGAAAAACTATTTTTATAGAAAGCTCCACAGGTGATTCTAATCCACAGCCAGGGTTGAAATCAAATCACTATTTGAATTTATCATTGTATTACCCATCAAACTATTCATTTTACTGAAATATTCATATAGTATATGATTCATATTCATATATTTGTGTTCAGAAAAATAAAGGACAAGAATCTGTTCATTTCCTTATATTAGGTATCTCATCTTTGATGTTGTAGACAAGTTCCTGAGATGTCATTTGTAATTTTGATTTTTGTCATAGATTTCCATTGTAAAATTGAGTGTGCTTTGTCTTGGAAAAATTGTTAAAACCCAAAGAAATTACTTGACTTAACCTGGGAAAGAAAAAAGATACAAGGTTCCCTTTTTTGGCCCAACAGTAGTAAAACATTGGGGGGGAAATGCCATAAAATAAATATAGGTAGTTCCCATACACACATCTTCCTCTAAAGAGTGACTCACATTTTGCCGAACATTTTAAGTTGTATCAGTGATATTATAATGACTTTCTAAAGTTTTCCTGAAAGGATTCTATTATGTTAAATTAAACTTTTTGTTCATAATGAGTATTCATATTGAAAGTAATGTAATGCTGATTTTTATGATTATTGTTTTACTGAACCATGATCTTTATAGTAAATTCCACCTATGTATGCTTTCAAAAAGGTGAATGAGGTATTTGCATTAACTCCTCAGTGTACTCCAAAGTTTATAAACATAACAAAGTTAGACATCTCTTTGACTCCCATATTTTAAAAATCATTTCAGCTAGTATTTTCTCTGCAAAATGTGAAGTAATAAAGGAAGTATTAATGTATTTTACAACTGGTATGAAAAGAGTGGCTATTAAAGTAAACTACATTCAATGCAGTCTTCCCTTTTAAATAAAATACAGTGAAAGCAAGAGCCAGGAGTCACCCATTCTTGTCCTTTCATTGTGCCAGACTTGAACACTGTTTTTCTTTTGTGTGTAGTTTTAATTGACGGTTCCATTTCTGAAATAGCCGTGTCTTGCATTAACTTTTGAGAAATTTTACTTTATAAATGACTTCTATTTATTTAAAAAAATTTTTTTTAGATTGCTCTCTGAGATTATATGGGTCATCCTGTAGCAGATTTGGTTTCAAAAATTCGGATATAAACATTGACATTCAATTTCCAGCCATTGTAAGTACAAAATAAATGTTAGAATTTTCACAGAGTGGTATGGAAGTTCTATTTTTTTTCTCTAAATGTGAGCTATATGTGGTTATATTTTAGATGTTTAAGGACAGTTTAAGTGTAATTTTTTTTTCCCTAAAACTACTTTGTTTTTAAAAGTATAATTTTTTCCTGAAAATTTTTTTTAATGTTCTGCGTGCCTTCAATTTTAAAGAGTATTTCTTCTTGTTCTACATATCTTTCATGCTTTCTTCAAACACTGGTTTTTTTAACCATGTGAATCTGATGGCATTACTTAGCTCTATTAACTTGAAAAGATTTAATTATCTTGACAATTCAGCTTTGCAGTGGCAGCAAAGGATTTCAGATTTCAAATGGGGGGTGTGTGTGTGTGTGTGTGTGTATATATATATATACACAAATATATATACATATAAACATTTAAGACCTGCAAGCTCCATTTGTTCCTGAGTTTCCTCTTACATACACCCACCTTGTAAAAATAATTACACTTTTGAAGAACTGCACCTAGCCTCGATTTCTGGCTTAAACATGGTTCAGAAAGATGTTGATGAGTCAGAACTTTAAAACTGGAAGGCACTTTAGTAGGTTATTCATTTCCTTACTGATGGTTCCTGCAGGCCAGTTTGCAAGTGGTTTATGCCCATTTACTTGGGTTACTGCTTAAAAATAGAAGTAAAGATTTCTGACCTCCTCCCCCAGATGTTCTGTTTCACACTCTCTCATTCCTTGCTATCCCCAATTGCTATAGCTACCTGGTCAGTTGACCAAGATTTTACTTTTCTTTAAACCTTAAATTCTAATATTTTACCAGCATGGCAGTTATTTTGATTTCATGTCATTCATTCTTCGAGTCTGTGTGATATGCCAAGCACTATACTGGGTTCTAGAGGACAAAAAATACATGATTACTTCTTCATGAAATTCATACCTAGTGAAGGAGATAAGTAATTATGTATAGATAATTAATTATAATAAGCAATTCAGAAAAACAAGGTTCTGTGACAGAAAACAAGCAGTCCTGAAGCCCCTTTGAATGGATAACATTTAAGCTGAACTCTAAAAGATGAAAATGGTTGGAGACAGTGAAGGAGTGTTTTGGCTTGAAGGCACATCATTTGCAAGCATTGAGCGTGGCCTGTTCAAGGAGCTAAAGGGAAAATTGTTAGGGCTGTGAAGGGACCTAGAGAAAGTGGAGCATAAGATTAGGATAGAGATGTAGCCTGGATCCCAAAATACAGGAAGCTGGAATTTCATTTTGACCTAAGGGCATTAAGTAGCCAGACTGAGAGTTTTAAGGAGGGTCAGGACGGGATTTAATGCATGGTTTTAAGTGGTTTTGGTTCCCTGTGTAGCAGGGATTAGAGAAAGGCAAGACAGAAGTGGACACCAGTAAGCAATCTGTTGAAGTAGTCTCACAGAGTAATAGTATAGTATTAACAGTTTGACAGCTTCTAGCCACAACTCGGAGATTTTGCTGAGAGGCTAATTAACTCATGAATTAGTGAATCAGGAGTTAACTGAGTAGTCAGTCTCTTTTTGCCCACAGTCGTCATCTTTCAGTGCTCCTCTCTCTGTGTCTGACTGTGTGCACGTAGCACAATGATTAGTTCCTTTACTCAGGTAGTAAAGTGCTTTCTAGTTTGGAAAGGCATTTGAGTAACTTCAGATGATTGTGTATTATCTCAGTGAAGCCAAAGTACTTATAAATTATTTGATGTATTCATTGATTTATTTCCTAGATGTCTCAGCCAGATGTTCTCTTACTTGTCCAAGAATGTTTAAAGAACAATGGTAAGGCCAAATTCTTTCCACATTTTGTTGTTAAATTTTTCTTTTGTCTATAATTTGAATATATCTTATTTCTCAAGCTTTGAAAATAGGAAGTCATGTTTTTTGATTTACTTATATGAGTGATAGCCAAACAAAAAACTAAAGCAAATGCCCATGAATTATTAGTAGGTTAATTGGAGTCTTGTTAGTTGTTCTACTAAGCAGAATAACCATTTTGTAAGTAAAGCTTTCTGCTTTGTGATAATGTCATAATTTGTAAAGATTATACAGGCCCTAGCCTAAGATTGATAGGAGTCAAAATATGTAAAATTTACTCTTGAGGTTGAAACTAAAGGATGTTCATCTGTATTCCATGGCTCAAATTGATACTTTATGAATAATAGTGTGACTCAACTCACACTATTGTGAGATTAATTCAGATTAATGAATCAACAAATAATTGTTCCCAGGTATGTTATCATATGTCCAGATAATGTCCAGCTGGGACTTGACAGCTTGTGTGCTTTCCATAGGCCTGGTTAAATTGTCTCATCTCTGAATTAGTCTTTCCCATCCTTTTTGTTTTGACTGAATGAAATGTTTAAACTTCTTTTTACTTCAGTCAGTATGTATTTTGACCCCACATGTTTTAGTAGCTTTTGCAGCAATTTTGTTTTTTATTGTCCTATCCATATTTATGTTACTGACCTAACATTTAAATGTTCTAGTTCAATAATGTAGCCATTTCTAATCAGACGTTAATTTTGTAAAATAAGGGTTTTTTTTTAAATAAGGGTTTTAAATTAATGTGATTACTTGATTCTTGAATGTAATACTTTCTCAAGTCATTTTTATTTCATAATCATTTCTTAAGAGCTTTATTTCATAATGGTCTTTTGAAAGACCCAACAGATGATGCGCAGCTGGTACTGGTACTTTATCTAATTGTGCTTTTGAACAAAGGCTTAATTAACTAATCTGTGTCATATTCTTTTCTTTTTCCAGACTCTTTTATTGATGTTGATGCAGATTTCCATGCTCGAGTGCCAGTGGTGGTGTGCAGAGAAAAGCAGAGGTCTGTTGTTTTAAGCTGTTTATGAAGTATCAGCTTGCCAAAAGCATTTGTACTTTACTACATCTTAATGTCCAGTTTCTAGAATTACAAGCTCCTATGTGGCTAATTTCATAAGCTTACTAATTAGCTCTCTCCCTCTACTGTTGGTGTTTAACCCAAGAGGAAAAGGTGTTTTATTTTAAAAAGAAGAAAATTAAAGGAAAATATATAGAAAGGAAGCATTTTGATCCATTTCAGTAAAAAAAAAAAAAAACTGTCAAATAGTTACTTGCTCTGATCACCTTTATTTGCCATTCTTTTTAGCAGCAATTTAAACTACTGAAAACAGTCGGTATGACTTCACCCAGCTCTCTCTCTCCATCTGGAAACACTCCCATTCCCACTGTAGATGGGTGGTTTGCAGGCTGTAATGATTCACCATCAAGCAGATTCCTCCAGCTAGGGAAAACACTTTTGCTCCTACTAAGATGAATTCATACTCCCATTTGAAACATTTTACACTTCTTCTTTGCATTTTCCCCTAAAAAACTGTTTTAATATAAGAAAACGTGACAGTTTTAGCTCTTAAAGTGTACCCAGAAAATAGCTGCCCTTTTTTTTAAGCCAGTTATTTAAATGACCCATAAAGGTTTAATAAGTTTTTTATTTTCATTTTTAAGGTGTTTATTATCAATGTAAATTAGTTGGTGGTGGTGTAAAAGAAACCTGATATTTGTATAACACTTTCTTTCTCTTTTTCCTTCGCATTGTCGCCCTCTACCCCCGACCAGTGGTCTTCTTTGTAAAGTGAGTGCAGGAAATGAAAATGCTTGTCTGACAACAAATCATTTAACTGCCCTTGGAAAACTAGAATCAAAGCTGGTTCCTCTGGTGATTGCATTTAGATACTGGGCAAAGGTAGGTTTGAGTTCTTTAAATGAATGAATACGTTCTACATGTGCATAAGCAGTACACTTTGATTTTTACATGGTTCATGTAATCTTAAATGTTTGGATGCTTATTTATAGACATCAAGAGAGTTGGCATCTGAGTATTAGAAATTCTAATGTATGTAGAAAGAAAAACTCACTGTTTCTGTTTGACTATAGCATATTGTTCAAAAGATCATTGATTTATGATACTTATTAAAAATTAGATTTGTAGGTCAAACCTGAGTTATAGCCTATGAGTTTACACTTCTAACTAGTTTCCTGAAGTGAGTCTCAGATATAGGAGAGTTGAGATAAAGCCTCTTATACCATCCAATAATAAACCCATGCTTAGTCAGTCATGTTGACTCTTTGCGACCCCATGGACTGCAACCCTCCAGGCTCCTCAGTCCATGGAATTTTGATAAGAATACTGGAGTGGGTTGCCGTTTCCCCCTCCCAGGTATCTTCCCAACCCAGGGATCGAACCTGCATCTCCTGTATTGGCAGGTGGATTCTTTACCACTGAGCCACCTGGGAAGCCCCAATAATATACCCAAAGACTCCCAGAAAAGGAAAGCCACTATCTGATCTTGCTTTACATTTCTACAGTATTTTAAACATGGTATCCTAATGAAATGCTCAGATGAACACGAGAGCATCTAACATTTCTCCAAAATGTAAGGTCTCATGACGATTATAAACTTGAAATTCTGTATATAAAAAAGCCAAAAGCTTTATGGATTAGGACATGGCAGTCACAATACATAATTCCTGTTGCTTGAGTCGAAGATGCAACAGAGACAGAGGATGCCCCACTCTTAATTGAGTGAATTGGTAATCACAATATGCTGTGCTTTGAAAGCAGCTTCCTACTTCATCACTAAGTTGTTATTTTCTGCCAGTGCTAATTGGTTTGCCTGCTTTCTTTCCTCTAATTATGTTTCTAACCAAAGCATGCATTTTCCAGGTAGCAGCTAAGCGTGAGGGGGCCATTAAACTGAGCAAAGTCAATTGGCTTACATTTGGGATTGAATCATTATTTTGACTGTATTAACAAGTTTTTGAACCAAGTGAATGGATTTACCATGGATATCAAAAAATAGATTTTTAGAGCCTTTCACAAGTGAGTTTAGTTAACAGAATGAAAAGAATTTTTTTTTTTTTTTTTCAAAATGAAAAATTTGAAGTGGAAACTGTCACTGAAAACCACAATATGTGTTTACAACATAAGTATAAGGAAGTTGGGTTATGAAGTTTCATTTTGAAGACTAAATCACGTGATAAATGGAAATGAATTAACAGATTTTAGACCAAATTGCATAAATGACCAGTTGGTACAAAAGAATGCTTATCCTCTTTTCTCTCATTTATAGCTTTGCAGTATAGATCACCCTGAAGAAGGAGGTTTGCCACCTTATGTGTTTGCTCTGATGGCCGTTTTCTTTCTTCAACAGAGGAAAGAACCCCTTCTGCCTGTTTATCTAGGATCATGGGTATAAAACATTTTTTGCTTATATATCTGATATTGATTTTATTATGGGGCCACAATCCCTTGGGCATAATTTCAAAGTCTAAAAACCTAGCCAGAACTGACATGAATTTATCCTATTACTATGAAAATTCATACTTCTCACTGCTGAAATATTAATGTATTTGGCTACAAGATGCTGCCATATACTCTGCTAGGGAGACTGTTACTTTTCTAAACCGAAGAAACATAATTTATGGAGCACATGATCTTGAGGTTTGCAAGACAAGAGAATATGAACCTACATTATCATTTGCTACACACTTTCTTTGGGTACAGTTTTTTAATTTGATACTTTGAATTTATGTATCACCTCCAGACAGACCATAGGAAGCGTTCAGTTCACTATCACTTTCTTTCACTGGTCTTTTTGTTCTCTTTCTACCCTTTTCCCCGTGAAACAAAGGAAAATATAAGTGCTGAGATCGCTACTCATACCACAAGGTGCAGAACTTAGACATCGCCTCTTAAATAATATTTTGCTATAATCTTTAAGATGAATAAGACTTCAGTAAGGTGACCACTCTTTCTTTCTGGATAAATTAAAGTTGAGCTGATTTATTCAAATAGTAAGATTTAAGAAGGAGCCATCTCAAAGTCAAAATGAGGTTATTTTCATTCTCTTGAAATCCTCACTTTTAATCCCTAGGTAAAATTCCTTGATGAAGTTTTATGTGTATCCTTATGTTATAAAAAGCATCACTTGGTAAAAGTTACTGTGATACATCCAGTATTTTAACTACTTGTCTTCTTACCATATGCAGGATTCTCATCATTTAAGGAGGAAATGTTCCAGAGCCATAGTTCTTAACTATGGAGATATATATATATATATATAAAATAAGATTTTAGGGAATTTTTTCTTTATACTAAATGTGTTGGGAATTAAGCAAGGACCTTTATCAGGCAGGCCCTGAGATGAAAAAGGCTGAAGCAGAAACACTGTCCTGGCTTTAGGAATTGCAGTCTGCTGTGCTGTGACCCAGTTGCCTAAAGGGAGTTAGTTCTCTTTGTGCTTGTGGTACTGAAATTAAAAAATTCAGGGTATCCTTGCTAGTCTGTTCTCCTGGTGAAAAAAAAGGGTGAGAGAACAAAGTCAACCCTTAGTTGACAAATAACCCTTTTCATCAGACCTAAGTCCGATGTGAAAGTCTTTGAAAAAGTCTTTGAAGTTTTCTTTTCACTTTGATCCAAGAGAGATAGGACTGTAAGATACAACCAAACCAGTTGGACTCCTGGGCCAAAAAAATGTCTGAGAAGAGGTTGGCTGTGTTGCCATATCACTGCTGTCTTAGTAAAATCTGCCTTTTCTTGTGTCTTCATCATCTCTGAAGTGGGCATCTGTCACTGATGTGAAGATGCAGGGAAAAAAGTGCTTCTCTTTTGGTGATGTGAGTCTCCTCGGGATTTGCTTAAGAGAAGCATAAATACCTTTGTCTATAGCCAAGTGTATTATTTCCTTGGCAGTGATACTAGAAGTTCTCTAAGATGACAGAATTGGGTTTTGATTATGCCTTTTATTTATTGAAAATTTTAATGACAAAAACAAGTATATAGTGGTCAAACACTGGGTTGAACTGTATATATCAAATAAGGTAGACTACTGCCTGACCCAAAGTGATCGTCGTTTTCACGTTTTTAAACTAGTCAGGTATCGGTGTGCTGGTTTCTGCTAGAGTATTAATAAAAAATATACAGCAAGTAACAGAAAAGAAATTCAGTGCCTGGTTCGTGCCAGATATTTTATATCACTGTTTCTGTAGAAAATTATTGAAAACCTCAAAATTATGTGTATGAAAGTGTCCAAACCATTAACTTCTTCAAAATCTTTAAATCACTCTGTATGTTAGTCATTATACTAAGCCCTGAAAGTAATACATGGGTGAATAAGTTAGATTCTTTGTCAAGAAGTTTAGACTATCATATTTCTGTGTTCTGATCTGTGTTTTCAAAAATCTTTTGGTCATTCTCTCCCAACCTACTTAGATCTCTTTTATGTTGGAGACTCTCTCTGACCTTTTACTCCCAATTAAAATTTTTGTTTTATTATCATTTGATACTGATATGTGAGTTATGAATGATGAATAGATGTAATCCTGTCTTCTTAGCCTCTTTTATCCCCTACAACAATATTTTACTAGTCTCCTAGTAAATATTTTCTTGAATCATTTTTATTTTAGATTATATAAACTTAACCCTTAGGAAACAATTATTTTCACTTTAAGAATGCCAGACAATGCAGTATAAAGAAGAGTAGTGTCAAGTATTAAAGTTTGGCAGCCCTGAGAGTCACCCAGGATTTGCCACTAAAATTCTTTTTTTTTTTTTTTTGCAATGTTTACAACATTTTATTAAAGTACAAAATAGTTGGAATTAAGCTAAATAGAAAAACAGTAAATATTTACAAAAACATCGATAATATCACTCAAGTCACACACATGTAATGAATGCAGGAAGGTCTTAAAAATTCTTGTAACCTTGAGCAAGTTGTTTAATCTCTGAGCTTTGGGGAAAGACTCATCTGAGAAATTTTGAAATGAGATCATGAATGTATAACTCCTAGAACAAGGCAGGAGAACAGATGTAGTCCTTTTCCCCTTCAATAGAAAATCAAGTTCCACCTACGGTATGGAAGCTTGAACTCGTAAACAAGTGATCCTTCTGGAAATAACAGCTGTAAATTCTCAACAAAACACATAAAATAACAACCTGAAGGCTCTGGGGACTGAACAAACTCAGACAGACTTTAGAGAGAAGCCAAAAATTAAGCAAGTGACCCAACACAGTGAGTTCCTGTTTTTCAGTGGCTTCACTAGTAGAAAAGCCACTCCTCTTTCTGGGCAGAGGAACTAGGGCCACCAAATAATAAGGGGAAAAAAAAACAAAGAAGGAAATTCAGAGAAGTGGAACCCTTCTTTCTGGCAACTCAGCACATCTCTGACTGACTGTTGACCAATTCAGTGCACCATATAAGGATCTTGGAAGTCATCGCTCCATCCTCACAAAAAGAAAAAAGCTGAGCATGCTGAAAATCATCAACTCTCATTAGATCCTTCAGAAGTGGGGTCATGGAGAAAACCACTGGCCCCCAATTGGAGAGACAGGCAGATATGTAACTTGTCAGAGCAAAAACCCAGGAAGAGAATCCTGCCACTGGAACCACTACCAGGCTAAGAAAACCATGATTCTGGAAGTTCAGTTTGGATAAGTATGAAAGTGAAAAACAGCAGGGGGCCTATTCATAGGGTGCTCATTTCATGAGTTTTATCTCCAGAAATGCCCACCAGGTTCCTCAGGGTAAAGATCCAAGAAAAATCCTCTATCCAGGAAAAAAGTGGTCAGTTTGACATTGTGTAGAACATTCTGCTGTCTGAAGTAAAAACCTGCCCTCAAGGGAAACAGTTTTACCAGAGCCAAATTGGACCATAAAGAAAGCTAATCGCCGAAGAATTGATGCTTTTGAACTGTGGTGTTAGAGAAGACTGTTTTGAGAGTCCCTTGGACTGCACGGAGATCAAAACAGTCCATCCTAAAGGAGATCAGTCCTGGATGTTCATTGGAAGGACTGATGTTGAAGCTGAAGCTCCAGTACTTTGACCACCTGTTGCAAAGAGCTGACTCGTTTGAAAAGACTCTGATGCTGGGAAAGATTGAGGGCAGGAGGAGAAGGGGACGACAGAGGATGAGATGGTTGGATGGCATCACCAACTCAATGGACATGAGTTTAGGTAAACTCCGGGAGTTGGTGATGAACAGGGAGGCCTGGCATGCTGCGGTCCATGGGGTCACAAAGAGTCAGACATGACTGAGCAGCTGAACTGAATCTCCTTGTTAAAGTGCTGAACTTAATATGCCAGCAAATTTGGAAAATTCAACAGTGGTCACAGGACTGGAAAAGATCAGTTTTTATACCAGTCCCAAAGAAAGACAATGCCAAAGAATGTTCAAACAACCCCACAATTGCACTCATTTCACACGCCAACAAAGTAATGCTCAAAATTCTCTAAGCCAGGCTTAAACAGTATGTGAACTGTGAACGTCCATATGTTCAAGCTGAATTTAGAAAAGGCAGAGGAACCAGAGATCAAATTGGCCAACATCTGTTGGATCATCAAAACAGCATGAGAGTTCCAGAAAAACATCTACTGCTTTATTGACTATGCCAGAGCCTTTGTGTGGATCACAACAAACTGGAAAATTCTTAAAGAGATTGGGAAAACCAGACCACCTTACCTGCCTCCTGAGAAATCTGTTGCAGGTCAAGAAACAACAGTTAGAACCAGATACGGAACAAAGGACTGGTTCCAAATTGGGAAAGGAGTACATCAAGGATGTATATTGTCACCCTGCTTATTTAACTTAGATGCAGAGTATATCATGTGAAATGCCGGACTGGATGAAGCACAAAGTGGAATCAAGATTGCTGGGAGAAATATCAATTACCTCAGATATGCAGATGACACCACGCTTACGGCAGAAAGCAAAGAACTAAAGAGCCTCTTGATGAAAGTGAAAGAGGAGAGTGAAAAAGTTGGTTTAAAGCTCAACATTCAGAAAACTAAGATCATGGCATCCGGTCCCATTACTTCATGGCAAATAGATGGGGAAACGAAACAGTAAGAGACTGTTTTTTGGGGCTGCAAAATCACTACCGATAGTGACCGCAGCCATGAAATTAAAAGACACTTGCTCGTTGGAAAAAAAGCTATGACCAACCTAGATAGCATATTAAAAAGCAGAGACATTACTTTGCCGACGAAGATCCATCTAGTCAAAGCTGTGGTTTTTCCACTAGTCATGTATGGATGTGAGAGTTGGACTATAAAGAAAGCTGAGCGCCACCGAATTAATGCTTTGAACTGTGGTGTTGGAGAAGACTCTTGAGAGTTCCTTGGACTGCAAGGAGATCCTCAAGGAAATCACTCCTGAATATTCAGTGGAAGGACTGATGCTGAAACTGAAACTCCAATACTTTGGCCACCTGCTATGAAGAACTAACTCACTGGAAAAGACCCTGATGCTGGAAAAGATTGAAGGTGGGAGGAGAAGGGGATGTCAGAGGATGAGATGGTTGGATGGCATTACCGACTCAATGAACATGGCGTTTGAGCAAGTTCTGGGAGTTAGTGATGAATAGGGACGCCTGATGTTCTGCAGTCCATGGGGTCCCAAAGAGTTGGCCACGACTAAGCAACTAAACTGAACTGAACCACCTTGAGTTTTTTCAGGGCCTGACTGACCTCGAGCAAGGAAAAATAGCCGACTCCAACGTTCTATTGTTCCCTGTCTCACCTTAGATTGGCAGGATTGAGAAACACGAAGGTTACAGCCAAGGATCACAGTCTCACTAAAAGACTGAGACCTTATAAGACTATAGGATGTCTCCCTTCTCTCCACAGCTTACTACAGCATCATTCAGCCTCCTGTGTAATAATGGAGTTACAGTAGAAAGATTTCATTTAAGAAGTCTCTTGGGAAACCCAAAAACAGTCGAAGAGACAAAAACAAGGATACCAACAGAAGTTACAGCCCGCTGACATCTACAGCTACAACAAACAGTACATTGCCTGACTCCAGGCAGATAAAGGGAAAAAATCCCACACCACAGGGTTTTACCTAGCTTTCAACAAAAAAAATCATAAGGCATACTAAAAGGCAAAGTCATAGTTTGAAGAAACAGAGCGTGCATTGGAATTATCTCACCAGGAATCTTAACAATATGACTTAATATGCTTAGGACTCTAAAGAAAAAAAAGTAAGTTTTACTCAGTAGAAACTTCTTAAGTTGAAAAGCAAGGAGGAAGAAAATAATGAATAAGAAATGGAACAGAATATCTAAGAATTGCAGAACAATTACTAAGGGTTATAGGCTCTACAGTCTGGGATTTCCTAGGCAAGAATGCTAGAGTGGGTTGCCATTTCCTCCCCCCAGGGATCTTCCCAGCCCAGGAATTGAACGCACATCTACATTTCAGATGAACTCTCTTTTTTACTACTGAGCCACCTGGGAAGCCCCACCTTGGCCCTAGAAAAGACCACATTTCATCCTGCATTAGAAGGAAACTGAGCAGGGGGCAACATGATGTCTTATGGTTTAGGATTGCTCTGTCAGGTAGACCACAGAAGTTGTCCATTTAATGTGAAAATACATTGGAGAATCAGGCTACCACAGTCATACCCTAGCCCACAATTCGTTATGTATGTTAGCATGTTTAAAGGCTGTGAAAAATCCCACTATACCTACAGTAAAGAAATCTGTTCAAGTTTGTTCCACATTTCTTAGACCTTTTGAGCCTGTGCTTTTCTTTAACATCTTAACCATGTCCAAAGAAACACTTTGTTTATTGAGCGCTTACTATATGCCATGCCCTGTATCTGAATGCTTTATGTCCATTATTTTTTCCATAACTATCCCATTAAGGAGATGCTAGTGTTACCCCTTTTTACAAGAACCTGAGACCTGAAGAAAACAAGGATCTTACTGAAGGTCTCACAGCTAGTGCCGAAGAGTGAGATTTGGGCCTATGTGGTTTTGCACCAGAACCATGGCCTTAGGCCTAGGCCATGGTCTGTTAGACTGTCTATAAAAAAATTATTTCCAAAAGGGCTTCCCTTGTGGCTCAGCTGGTAAAGAATCCGCCTGCAATGCCGGAGACCTGGGTTGGGAAGATCCCCTGGAGAAGGGAAATGCTACCCACTCTGGTGTTCTGGCCTAGAGAATTCCATGGACTGTATAGTCCATGGGGTCACAAAGTGTTGGACATGATTGAGCGACTTTCACTTCACTATTTCCAAAAATCACCATTTCTTTTGCAAATCAAAACCTTGATTTTTTTTCTCTTTAAGTTTACAGATGTCTCAAAGATAATCTTTTGATAAAAGATGCCTTTCATATTTTCAGTGAACTTTGTTACTTTTCATTTCTTCCAGGATTAATAAGCTCTGATTGTTTTAAAATCATTTCTGCCTTACAACGTGTGTCTAATTTTTCCTAGATTGAAGGATTCTCACTAAACAAATTAGGAAACTTCAACCTTAAAGAAATTGAGAAAGACTGTGTGGTCTGGGAATACACTGATAATGTTGCAGGGGATGTGGACTCAACAAAAGAGGAGGCACCAAAGGAAATGGCCATTAAAAGGGGACAGGTCTGTTCTGTTTCATGCCTGGTCTTATAATTTATTTTTAATTCAGTTGTTAATTGTGGAGTTTATGAGTTAGTCTTCCTCTCTTCTTTCCTCAACTGTCTTTAACTATTTCATAACTGTTTAATTTCTAGTCTGTTCAGTTTTGAATAGATAAGGAATAAAAGGTAAAATTCAAATCATTGAATCCACAGTTACATGGTTTCTTCTCTGTGTAAGGTGCTGTGAAAGACGCTGAGAATTCAAAAATAAGTTCCTATCTATCCTCCAAGAGCTTAGGTCTTAAGTGGTATTATGAGGTTTAAGTATAAGAAAAGTTAACTAACCTCATATTGCTAAAATAACATTGAATAAGCCTATGGTAGTATACTTGTCCTTATTCATACCATTAGTATTGAGAAGGAGAATTTATGCACAAGAAATGAGCTGCCATTAGAATTTCAAACAAAAATCTAAGCAATATAACAGTAGGATTCTAACCCAAATTGATAAACAGTCCTTGACTCCATGAGCTTCCTCATATCCCTTTGGGGTAAAATGACAGTAATATCCACAAAATACCTCTGAGACTGGGATTCTAATCCCAGCTCTTCACAAACAGGTCATGTCACTCCTGTAGTCCTTGTTTACTCTGGCCTAAAATGGGGAGATATTGGTGAATCACATATTCTTGGTTTTGTTGAGGGGAAGAGAATGGTGGGGGCACCCTACCTGAGCTGCCACCAGAACACACCACTTGTGTCATTTGTCTGTTTGGGGTTCCAGTGGTGGCTAAGAGCACAGACTATGGAGCCAGAATATTTGAATTTGTATCCCAGCTCACCCACTTCTAGCTATGTGTCTTTGGGCAGGTGACTTAATCTTTCTGTGCCCCAGTTTCCTCACCTGTAAACGGAGATGATATTGGTACCTACTCATAGGGTCATTGATTTATAGACTGCTTAACTCAGTGCCGAGCATATGGTAAGCACTCAGTAAATGCTAGCTACTCCTCTTACTTTATTTGAAAAACACAGTGTTCTCTATGTTTTAAAAAAAATAATAACAATGTAAGTACTGCTAGTCTACGTATGTCAGAGGTCTCTTAAGTTCCATGTTATATTGTGAAGTCATTTCAGTGAAATGTTGAATATATGGATAAAGAAGTGAGATCTAATGGAACCTTCCATTTCTGGAGTTTTCTCTGTGTCCTCAACTGTTGTTTGTGGGACCAAAACAACTACATTTTTAATCGGGTTTGGTTTGTAAATCCACCTGATAACTTTATCTTATTTCACAGAATGTTTGTGTTGAGATTTACTGAATAAATCTGTGACCACACCACTTATTTTGAAGCTTGATATAATAAAGTACAATTGGAAGCAAATTTGTATACCCTAGAAGGAAAGGCTACTGCTGAAAGACCAGTTAAATACTTTTATCTTTGCATTTGAATGCTAATTGGAGAGATTAATCATGCTGCCACTTCTAAAATTAAGTGAGGTCTGGACAGTGTTGACATTGCATAGTCTGGTGAAAGAGCACTGGCCTGGGATCAGGAGACGTTCTTCTGCCATGCAAGCCACATAAACTCTTTGGTTTTCAGTTCCTTCTCTTATAGCATATGGGAGTTGAACTAAATTACCTCTTAAGAGCATCTTACAGTTGTGACATGGTTTCAATGATATATGGATTTCTTGTATTTAAAAAGACTATACATAAATGAAAAAAATACAGACAGTAACCAGTCTGCCAGATGCTTTCCCTTGTTTCTGATTTAATCCTCATAACTATCCTGTGTTATAGGTGGTATCATCCCTACTCTGCAGATAATGATAGCGACCATTTTTTGAACATGTGTGCCAGGCACTGTGCTAAGCTCTTAACAGACTCTCTCTCACTCAGTCCTCCCAACAGCCCTATGAGGTGGGTACTATGATCCCCATTGTTCAGATGAGGAAACTGAGGCTTAGACAGCTTATATACCTTCACCAGGATCAGACACAGCTAGTAAATGGAAGAGCTGGATTTGAAAGCTTAGCATGTCCCATTCGAAAGCCAGTTTTCTTCGCTTCTGAGCTATACTGCCAGTCCAAGAATGAAGAAGCTAAGTCACGAAGCAGTCAAAACCTGTGAAGTGACAAAGTCAGTATTTGGACCCTCTTTTTTTCTAAGTCCTTTGAACTTTCCACTGTATTACATCACAGTATGTCACATCTTATCATGAGTCTGTGAGTGGAAAACTTGTATTTCTGATATCAAGGGTTATTTATTCGACTTTAAAATCAGTTGCTGCTGGAAGAACCAATGAACTTAATGTAACTTCTCAGAGCACATGAGAGGAGCATTTTTCCTTTTCTTCTATGCTCACAGCTGCAGTCCACTTGTGTCTAACGGTGTAAAGGCGCCCTCCGGCGGCAGGAGCAGGGAGAACTCAGTGCTGAGAGTAGTAGCAGGGCATCACGGTCCTCTCCACCTGCCCTTAAGACGTCAGGTTTAGAAATGACGCTTGCTTGTGTGCTGCCTGTCTATTCCTATGATACTGACTAGGTTTTCACATAACTTTAATCCCGGAATTCACTGAAGGAATGCTGTTTTCTCACAATCAAAATAGAACCTAGACTGTGATTTATCAAGATAGACTGCCGATTCATATCTTTGCTAAGGTTTTTCAGATTTATTTGATGCTTGAAGATCTCTAATTTTTCAGGTTGTACTGCCATCTGAAATAACCTGTATATTTTCTCTTTGCTGTTAATAGGTATCATTAATATTTGATTCAAAACAGCCGCCTTCAGTACCAGTTGGGCAGCTCTGGGTGGAATTGCTCCGATTCTATGCTCTAGAATTTAATTTGGCTGATTTAGTGATTAGTATCCGTGTCAAAGAATCGATATCTCGTGAATCGAAGGATTGGCCCAAAAAACGCATTGCCATTGAAGGTATCTCAAAATATTTATCTTTAAGTCCCAACCCTACCCCCTCTTTTTTTAAGGTATCAGTCTAACAGCATGCTTTTTATTTCAGTCTTTTTTCAGCTTCAACATGTAAGGTAGGCCTGACCCCAGAGGTGAAGTAGATAGCGAGAATCTTGCATGTGTCACAGTAGATCTTTCCAAGGGAGCAAATTGTTCATCCTGAGTTTTTTAAGTGCTGTGATAAAAAATTTTAATTACTTATGCAACTAAAAGGCATAGCTGTCTGTGTCCTTATTTTCTTTGTAAATTGCTCAATAACTTTAAATGCTTAAAAAGTCTTTTCCAAGTGACATGTAAATCCCCCTTTCCTCTTCGCTCTTCTCATTTCTGGATCTTTAGATTCAGTCCTTTCATGAATTGTTACCGATGTTGTTTAGTTTTACAGAGGTTGAGGAAAATACCTTTTCTCATGAAAAACAGCATTCTTCATTAAATTTCTCTCCATGGAGAGTTTATTTTTGGAATACCTGCAGTAATATTTAGACCTTATTCATAAAACACCTTTTCTCTTTAAAAGCACTTAGCTCTTAAATGAGTTAAGTCTTATTCAGCTGAAACCATTATATGAGAGACATACCGGTGTGCCCTGTAGACTCCTCTAAATGGACGAGCTCCTATCAGCTTTCCAAAGTCAGGAGATGGAAACCCCTCTAGAAATCTTAATTCTCCTCCTTCAAATAATTTAAAGAACCTCCTAAATGGAATTCTCTTATTTTTGCTTGATTTTTTTCAAGCCTTATATTGCATAAGAGGGTTTTTTTGCATTTTGCATAAATTCTGTGTGCAGTCATGGGGATCTCACATTTTTAAACCCTCCCCTGCAGTTTCTCTGGCTCAGCTCTTCTGGCCAATTGCCTAACCTGCTGGAGTTCTAGGGGAGGAGAAAAGATTGAGAGAAGTGGTGTCTCCTCCTGGTGCCTCCCTCTCGCCCCTGAATTCAGTCCAGCCAGTTCAGTGATGGGGCTTCCCAGGGCAGAAGAGTGGAGGTAAGCTCTACAAACGGCAGGGCCTGGCTGAGTGGGGAGGCAGAGCACTCAGCAGAGCCCGAGGGAAGACCCCGCTTCCCAAGGGCCTGAGAGCCACACTGATTATTTTTTTTTAACCCCCACAGTCACAGGACAGAGTAGGGAAGGGGTAATGGTTCTGAATAGAATGGGTTCTCTTCATAGAGCAGATGTTTAAGAAAGCATTTCTTTTTGTTTTTAAAACTGTATCTTCTTACTCCCCATCCCCAGTTTTTTTTAAAAAAAGCACATAAGATAAATGATAAGTTGTACTGTTACTTATTTGTTGTCTTTATCTATGTAGCAGGCTGGTTTTTAAAACATAAAATAGAAATGTGTGAAGCAGTGGATTTTTTTTTTTATTACAGATCCCTACTCTGTAAAAAGAAATGTGGCAAGGACCCTAAATAATCAACCTGTGTTTGAATATATACTTCATTGTTTAAGGACAACATATAAATATTTTGCTCTTCCACACAAAGTTATGAAATCCAGCCTTCCAAAGCCTCTGAGTACTGTCAGCTGTACTTCTGAACGTTCTAAAGAAATAGCAAAACATGATCCAGAGGTACAAGCGAAAGGTGATAAACTCAAAAACTCAGTTTTGGCTCAAGGTTCTGGTGCTGCCAGTTCAACTGCAAACACCTGCAAGGCACAGCCACTTACTCTTAAAGAGACTGCTAAAAACTTTGAAAGCCCATCAGCAGAGAAAATGGAAAACTCACACATCAGTGTCCACCTGGAAAACTCTGACTGTATTAAGGCAAAAGTCAGTTCTAGTGCCCCTAAGGACATTGAAGTACATCATCAAGAAACAGGAAGTAAAAATAAGAAAGAAAAAAGTGGAAAGGAAGGCAAGCATCCTTTGACTGCTGATGATCAAGCTTTAAGTAGTAGCAAGTGTGGCACGCTTGTTACCTGTGGCAGCCCAGGAAATAAGGAGAAAGATTCCAGTTTGGATCTAGAAGGCTTCAGAAATCCTATAGCTAAAGAGTATGATGAATTTCCTACTTCATATGCCAAGGCTGATGTTGATGAAGAAAGTATAGAAGGTACCAGTGAACTCAGAGATGCTGTAAGCCACTTTACCCCTTCAAGACAGAGCCAAATATCAGGAATCCTTCACTCTGATGAGGAAGAGGAGGATGAGGAGGAGGAAGAAGAACCAAGGCTCTCCATTTCCCGAAGGGAAGACGAGGATGACATTGCTAATGGAGACGAATTAGACAACACCTTCACTGGGTCAGGGGATGAGGATGCCCTGTCTGAAGAGGATGTGGAATTAGATGGATCTACTAAGTATGATGACTTGAAAGAATGTGGAAAACACCATGTAGATGGAAATCTTCTAATGGAACTTAATAAAATCAGCCTTAAAGAAGAAAGTGTATGTGAGGAAAATTCAACTGTGGACCAGTCTGATTTCTTCTATGAATTTAGTAAACTCACCTTCACCAAAGGCAAGGTAATCAGTGCCACTCCTATACATGGAACTAGGAGATTTGAAAGAGCTTTAATAATGCATGTACTTTGGATTTTCATGTACTCAAACAGGGCTCCCGCCTGTCTCAGTAGTGGGTCACTCCCGTGCAGCCACTAGGTCCGCTGCTGTCATTAATCTCTTGGGAATTTGCAGAGGAGAAAAGAAATGCTGTTGGTAGTCAAAATAACTGCCTTTTTCTCCTGAGTGTGTTTGCAGTGGCCATGCCACTGTATTTTCATTTCTTTGGAATGTGAGGTGGAGAATGTGTACTTTGGAAAAAAGATTCAAGGCTCCTTTATTTAAGTCTTGTTTTGCTTTGCCATCTTCCTACAGTCTCCTACAGTAGTTTGCAGTTTATGCAAACGAGAGGGTCATCTAAAGAAGGACTGTCCTGAAGACTTCAAAAGAATCCAGCTGGAACCTTTGCCTCCATTAACTCCCAAATTTTCAAATATCTTAGATCAAGTTTGCATTCAGTGTTACAGTAAGTTATTAACATTTCTTTTTATTTGTCAAAATATTAAATTGATGTTTTCTCAAGAGTTAATCTGATTCACTAACCCATTAGCTACATTATCCAGGCTAAGTCTTTTGCATTGTCTATTGTATCCATAGTACTCTGTGTATCGTGTTCCATTTGGGACATGCAGTAAATACTTGTTAAAGAAAGACAGGGAAGGAGAATCTTTTAAGTCTTATGATTGGAGTACTATCATTTCCCGACTGGTGTTCCTTGAAATGCTTTTCTAGGTACCTGCCATTAATAGTATTTAGTAACAAGAAGTATTCCAAAGGTCAAGGGGGAATAACTGTATATCTTGCCCCCTCCCTTAGAGATTTTCAGGGCATATTAGCACAATAAAGGCTCCTGGAAATGTTTAGGTAAAAAGCTTATTTACTAACTCTTTTATCTAACATTTCCAAAATTTGAGCTTAGAATACTTTTTAATTAATGCTAATTAATAACCTTTTTGGAGAAGGAAATGGCAACCCACTCCAGTATTCTTGCCTGGAGAATCCCATGGACGGAGGAGCCTGGTGGGCTACAGTCCACGGGTCACAAAGAGTCGGACACGACTGAGTCACTTCACTTCACTTCAATAATCTTTAAGGAACATCAGTTTGGGGAAGTGTTGGTGTGCAGAGGTTTAAGTTCTACAAGGAAAACCATTTGATGGAGAGGCATGCAGCTGCTAAGAGTAGAGGATTATGACACATGACATTGCTGCATGTTAAGATGTCTGTCTGTGTCATAAGTCACTTGTTCTTAATCAGGGTTTTGTTCTTTAAATCTCTTTGGAGAGTGTAAGTGATGAAAGAAAACTATTCTCCTTAGGGGGGAATATGTGAAAATATATATATATATATACACACACACACACACATACACACACACATATAAAATGTGTTTTATATATATGTATAAATATATACTCACAAACTGTTGTGTTCACCCTCTGCCTTTATCGGGCTCTGGGCCTCTGTGAAACCCAGGAACAGAACCCTTGTGCAGACTGGTTTCCATCTCAGGAACAGTTCTTGGTGATAGACTCTTTTTAAAAGGCATCTTTATTGTACATTGCTTAATACTGTCTACTGAGAAGACACAAAATTTAGGGTTTGGTTGGTTTTTGTGGTTTTTTTAGCTAATTAGGTTTATTGAAAAATATTTTTCAGAGAATGTGAACAATCTTTGTTTCTGAATGTATCTGTTTATCTTAAACAGAGGATTTTTCTCCAACTGTTCTAGAAGATCAGGCACGTGAACATATTCGACAAAACCTAGAAAATTTCATAAGGCAGGAGTTTCCAGGTAAATAATTGTTTAGCTTTAAGAAAAGAAAGATAGTGTTGCTTTGCTTCAGAATGAGTGCATGTGTTACAAGAACATTAATTTTGAGCATAAGAAAGCAGTCTTGCAAGTGATGGTGGGGACAGGCCTTCTTTGTTTTATGATACTCCTAGGATGGTTTTAGGTCTGTCCAGTCCTAGTTTTGACAACAGAGAAGACAGTTGCAGTGTAGTAGTATTTCACTTAGCAGATACACGTGAACTTCATTTGTCAGTTGAGAGTCAAGGTTCAGACCTCTAAAAAGTGAATTTATTTAGAAAGTAGTAAGCTTACATTATTAAGTGTGCTTAGGTGATCCACATTTTCCTTGAAATGTCCTTGCATCTAAGAATAAAGTACATTTGATAATCTTTCGTGTCTTTTATAGCTTGTATTTATAGTAAATTTCGAGAGGAAGTAATTTATAATAAAAGACTAGTTAATAAAAGAAAATAATTATTATGAGGTTATTTTAGAACAATTAATAACAGTATTTTTTATTCATAAAAGAGTTGCTTTGGTCAGAAAATTAATGTACTCAGGTTGGTTGTCACTTTTCATATATCTCTAACAGGAACTAAATTGAGCTTGTTTGGCTCCTCCAAAAATGGATTTGGGTTCAAACAGAGTGACCTTGATGTCTGCATGACAATTAACGGACTTGAAACTGCTGAGGTACAGTGACCGCGTAAAACTTGCATTTGCTGTGGCGTGTGTGTTGACAATCTTGATTCACAATTCAGCACGGTATTTTCTGAATTTATCAGGGTATGTCATATGGAGTATGCCATTTGGCACAATCTGTCTGGTCAAATAAATACATTAGAAGTTTAGAGGTGAATGTGAGGAGTAGAAAGGCTTGTGCTTCCAACCTGTAATACAAACTGGATATGAGAGTGACATCTGGGAATTCTAGAAAGGCAAACTAGCCTTTCCAGTGTCTCTTTGGCATAGGCACTAGGCTGACTCAGGTGCATAAATACACCCACATAAGGTCTTCTCTGAAGTTTTAGCAGGCAGCCAGTGTGATACAGTGATGACAGTGAAAGTCACTCAGTCGTGTCTTGACTCTTTGCGACCCCATGGACTGTACACTCCAGGAAATTCTCCAGGCCAGAATACTGGAGTGGGTAGCCTTTACCTTCTCCAAGGGATATTCCCTGGAGTTCGACCAGGGATCGAACCCAGGTCTCCTGCATTGCAGGCGGATTCTTTACCAGCTGAGCCACCAGGGAAGCCCATGGCACAGGGATAAAAGGGTGCTAAACTGGATTCAAGACAGACTTGCCCGTCTTTGGTTGCTTATCTCTAATACAGAAATGAGATTTGCCTTGCCTCAGAAGATTGTTGTGCACCTCAGCTTGGATCAGTGTATGTCAGGAGTCAGTGAACTACGGCCTACTGCCTGTTTGTTTTTTTTTAATGTCAGTTTTTTGGCATTCAGCTACACCCTTTCGTTTATGTGTGGTCTACATGTGGTTTCACTCGAACTCCAGGATTGAGTCCTTGCAACAGGCCATGTGGCCCACAAAGCAGAAAAGGTTTGCCAGCCTTGATGCTATTTGTCAAATATAAAATACTGTGAAAAGGTGTAAAGTTTCAGAAGTACTGAATCCATCCCCTTTCTTTCTTACAACAGTAGTCCAAATACTGCACATCCAAATGAGTGGTGCTGATGTTGCTCTGGATCTTCTTATGCCTTTTCTAAGTTTCAGCGTTTTATCCCTTGAGGATGCATCTGATTTGAGAAAATAGCCACAAGTTATCTGGCGTGACTTTGGTGAATAAGGTGGATAAGGACAATTGGGTCCAATATGTGAATGACCTGATTATACATCATTGAGATTGAATTTTTACATGATTAATAAACTAGTTGTGAGGGCATTTCTAAATTAAATTCCAAATTCTGGGAAGTATATAACCAACTAACCAACAAAAGGACTTAATGTTAAAAAGGTCAGCCCAAATGTTTTTAAATATTTGAAATGTTACTCATATTTGCTGTATAACTTTTTGTGTGTTATATGTTTGACTAGTCCTATGGAGAAATAACCTGAGCTTAATCACTCCCCACAGCAGTTCATCAGCTCTTTTTGAAGACCTACCCAGAATGAATAAGACAGGCCACAGAAGCTCTCTCTTATTAATTCTGTCACATAAAGGAAAAAAAATTGGAGGTTCTCGGTGGTTCAGAGACTTTTTCAGGGACACTGATTTCAGCCTTTCTTGCTCCTCTAATAGCAGTTAGTAAGTAGGGTGCATGAGGGTTTCCATATCCTTAGGATATTCCTATGTGTAAGGATTAATGCTCACCTAAAAAAGGAAAATGAATGTAGAACAATTTGAATTTAATTTTGTTATTTCTGGAGGAAATGAAACCAAAACAGGGTTAGGAACCTGTCTTCTGTTTTTGATTCAGTCTGTGCCATTTTTGCTGCAGGGGTTGGACTGTGTAAGAACTATTGAAGAATTGGCAAGAGTCCTCAAAAAGCACTCAGGTACCTCTATAAGCTTTATCTAAAAAATATTCTCATCTTTTTTATTAGTGTTTTGCATACTTAAAATTTACAAATGACTGAAATAGTGTAGTGGCTCATATAACATTTATAGCATTGGTGTCTGAAAAAAATCAGTGTGGTTAAGTATGAAAAACTGAGGAATTGGTTATAATTTGTATACATATTGTTGCCTTGGTTTTATTTCATGACAAATGTATACTTTCCACACAGGAAACTTGGGGAATCATTTTGCCTTATCAACAGAGTGTAAAATCAAAGTGTAGGTAAAGGTTGCTGGCCATGATGTGAAGTATAGTGGAAAGCGCTGTGGACTGGGGTGATGGATTGTACTGGAGCTGTTCAGCAAGTTGTGCATAACCCTAGACAAGTATTTATAGCTGCAAAATGTACAGGTTCTGTAATTGTACACAGAGCTGAAATGCCATGAACATATTCTTCTGCCTCTCTTTGTCAGAGGTAGCTGTGGATGCTGTTAACAGTGAGAGTCTTTTAAAATGTGGTACATCAAACGTCTGTGCTGAGTTAAAAATGAAAGTGAATAAGATGTGGTCCTTGCCTTTGTGAAACTTAAAATCTATGAACCATCCATAAAATGCTTTCTTATATCTTAGTCAAGAGCAGATTTAAATCCACAGCATGGGCATGCACACACAAAGTATGCACCTGGAATACCCCTTTTATTTGCATTTTTGATTTCCAGGAGTTTAAAGAGGATACCATGTGATTTTAAACAATAGGGGGAAAATCTTAATTTTGTTTTATTCCTAGTGAAAAGTAACCTAGAGCATCAGTATGTTTTTTAATGTGCTTTGGTATAATTTTTATGGTCATTGAAATAAGCATTTTGGGAATTTTACCTCTCAAAACGATATGCTCTTTTATTTTTGTTTTTGAAGATTATGCAAAGAAACTAGATTGCTACATTGCCATGACTATTAGGTATTTCATAGTGAGGTAGGTTTTGACTTTTGATTTTGAAATAATTTCAAATGTAAAGGAAATCAGCAAAAATTGTACAAAGAATTCTGTCTGCCGTTCATTCGGATCCACCAGTTGTTAACATTTTACCACATTTGATTTATCATCCTTTCTTGCTTCCTCGTAATTTTTTTCTGGACCATTTGAGATTAAGCTGCAGACATCACTTCACTTTCTCCTAAAAAACCTATACTTTCTAAGAATGAACCATGTTAAAAATAGGTCATTTTTAGACTAAAAGTGACTTTTATAAACAGATTATAATGTAATACAGATTGCATGGAGCAAAAATTGAGTAATAGCTAGAAAGTGATGATTAAGAAAGCAGTTTTCCCACATATTTTATTGGGTGCTTGTTATGTGCTCCTGTGTTGGGCATGTAGGTAGGATAGAAAAATAAGTCTACAGGTCTTTCCTTTGACAACTTTCAGAATCTCAACAGTAAGATACTCTCACAGGGTATGAACAATGTATGGTGGCATTCATTTATTAAAATGACTGGTAGAGCCTACAGTAAGTGTTAAATACCTTCTGAGGAGAGAGATTTGGGGAAAGAGTTGGGTAGGAGAGGTTTATGGAAGAGATGGGCTTGTTCTGATCTCATGATACTGATGAACATGATTTGAAAAGGATAAGGTGAGAAGTCATTCCAAAGATGCATGGATGTGACTATGAGAATCACTGTAATTGATTTTGTAGGACAATGAGAAGATTGATACATTTTGAGAGGAGCTTCAAGTGGGAACTAGTAGGGAAATGTGAACTGTGTTTGAGAGAAGAAACCCAATAAAAGCAGAACTTTTTAGGCAGCTGGTATGCTCTTAGGGAAGATACAGTCTAAGGGACAGGGCAGAAGGATCTTAACCAGATGCCAGTGATCCTAAAAGGAAAAGAATATGAGAGATTCCAAAGGGAGATTTCCTAGATTCAGAACCTGCAAGTAGGAAGTATGGGTTCAGGCTGATATCTGAACTAAGAAATGGGAATGGGAATGTTTGCAGTGTGGAGTGATAGTTTGCCATGAAACTATAATCTCTAAGAATTAACAGTCCAGCAAGCAGTTAGGACATAGAGTTGCCAGTTAAGATTGAAGAACAAAATGAAGCAGTTTGTATTGAACACCTTGAAGGAAGAGGCCAAGAATGAAACAGTTCTGTGGATTATGAGAGAGGTTGAGGACCAAGCTTTAATTTATAAGTGTAGCAATTAAGGGCACTGAAAAAGGAGCTATTGGAAAGGTAAAATAGGAGCCAGAATGATGTACTGTGAATAAATCCTAGAGGACAGGTTTATAAATGTCGTAATAACAGTGTCAAATGCTAGAATTTCTCCATCTAGGAAGGAGATGGGGAAAAAAAAGATACTTAATTTAAAGCCACCATAGCAAAGTAATTAATGGTGGCTTCTAAAATCAGACTCCCTAGTTTTAAATCTTGGGTCCTTGCTTGCTGGCTGTGTGATTCCAAAAAGTCACTCACCTTCATCGTAAGCACTCAGTTTCTCATCTGTAAAGCAGAAAAAACAATACTAGGATTTAAGATTAAGAAAAATAATATATTACAGTACAAGGCCTGACTTACTGAGTGTTCAGTAAGTAGGAGCTTCCTTTCCCCTTCTCCCCATCAGTGTAAGTTAGACAACTTCTGTCTCCCATGCAGACCTTTTCTACTGAAATTCCTTTCATCTGCATACTTTTTTTTCTAAATTCCAGATCACTAGTCATCTGTCCTTCTAGATGCCACCATTTAACTCTCTCAAAAGGAACTCAGACCTCAGCACCCAGAATAAACAGATCTTTCTCTCTTCCACTTCCCTTCTGCTCCAACCGCCACTAGCTGTTCTTCCTTCTACATCCTCTCTCTTGGTTATTGACATTGCCATCCTTGGAATCACCGAAATGAATGAAGTGATAATTAGCCTGTCCCAGACTAGGTTCACGGAGAAGGCAATGGCACCCCACTCCAGTACTCTTGCCTGGAAAATCCCATGGATGGAGGAGCCTGGTAGGCTGCAGTCCATGGGATCGCACAGAGTCGTACACGACTGAAGCGACTTAGCAGCAGCAGCAGTCTAGGTTCAGTAGAGTCAGACATACCTAGATTTGAACTCCCACTCCACAGTTCACCAACTGCATATTGCTAAGCAAGTTCATTTCTCTGGGTCTGTGTCATGTTTTGGGTAAGGGTGAATGGTCTTAGGAGGTAATGTTTGTAAAGGAATCTGGGTGTTAAGGGAATGTTCTTTCTGTTATAGCCTTCCTTTCCCCTACTTCTTTTTCCCCAGCCCATCCAGTTAGAGGTGCTCTCAAACATGTCTTGCTGCTTCTCTGCATTATCATGCCACCATTATAGTTCAGGCCCAGGTCAGTTTTCATAATGGTCATCCTGTCTCTCTTCCGGGTACCTCCAATGGTCAGTGATTTTTCCCAGATTTTGCCAGTTCATTGGCATCTTTGCCTCCAAGGATATATTTGTTCCATATTTGGGCTCTCAGTTTTTGCCACTTCTCCTGTTACTCTTTACTTCTTTCCCTCAAGTCCACTCTCTCGCTTGCACAATTCCATGGAAGTTCCCCGAGCTTGTCGTTCTGTTTCAGGCAGCTCCCCTTCCCTGTGCAGTTCTCCTTGCCTGCTAAGTTCCCGCAGCCTGCCCTTTTTCTGCCTGTAGCTTTTCAGAACCTAGCTGAGGCAGTATCCTCTTCTCCTGTTGGCACTGACTCTTTTCTTATACTGACACAGCTTCTAGCTCCATGATGGGCGTTCAGGTAATGGCTCACACGATGTACGGCTTTTCTTCATGTAATGTGTGTGGTCATACAGAGAGAACGGGGAGGGCGCACATAGTCCAGACTCTGGAGTAGTGTCCTGTTCTGAAGTGTATCAGACTGGCAGCTGTGCACACATACACAGGATCCAGTGTGTTCCTGAAGCGCAGTGGCTGCCTTGTTGATTCTTGTACTGCAGATATTCATGTGTTTAACAAATGTAAACTTTGCCAGAAGAATCATGTTTGTTAACAGCGATTCTTTGACTAGTCTTAGTGACTCACTGAGACAAGCCAAAGCCAGGTTTACTTCATTCTGTGTTGGAACATTAACGTGAGAGCAACTTTTACCCTCTGCTGCTGGGTTTAATGACACTATCTTGTTTCCCAACCTAGGACTGAGAAACATCTTGCCTATTACAACAGCAAAGGTGCCGATCGTGAAGTTCTTCCATTTGAGAAGCGGTCTGGAGGTGGACATCAGTTTGTATAACACATTGGTAAGATTTTCCCTAGACTTTTTCTTTATGGAGATGAAGAGGAAGAAGTATCTCTTAATTTATTCAGTCTTTAAGTAAAATTAAGCCATTCATTTCATCCTCTTCATTCTTTTAGTAGTTATTAGTGCTTACTAAGTGTCTGGCAGTGTTCTGAGACTGGGGCTATAACACAGAATTGAGTTAACATTAGTATTCATTAAAAATGAGGTCAGAGTGGCAAGTGTGTTTTTTTGTTTTGTTTCAGGTTTTTTTGGCTTGAACTTTGTTTAATTTTGGTGTGTGTGTGTGTGTCTTTGGTCTCAGACCTGGTTTGTTTTCAAGGCTCTCTGGAACCTCTCTGGCCCCTAAGGACGTTTAATATGAATAATAGGCAGGGATGCAGATCTTAGGTTGAGTTAAAGGGAACTGATTATTTTTATAGCCCATATTTTCTAGAAATGTTTAGACTAAGGTCTGAGATTAGATGTCTCTTATAATTCTTATCTAGTAAGTTAGTAAAGCTTCTCTGTAGGGGAAAATATTAGTTTCAGTCTAAATGTCTTCATCTTAAAAATGAATTACACTGTAAACCTATTCAGAATATTTCACCTTAAAACTTTTTTTTAAGGTTATATAATTTCCCTTTTAATAGGCCCTTCATAACACAAGACTCTTATCTGCTTATTCAGCCATTGATCCCAGAGTGAAATATTTGTGCTATACTATGAAAGTATTTACAAAGGTAAGTATGCTTCCTCCTGAGATTTCCTCAGGAGATTTCTTTACATCTTTAAACCTTGTTGAAAAAGTAAGAAACAAACCCAGTCATGTAGAAAACAAACCAGTGGTTACCAGTGGGGGGAGACAGGGATGTTACGGGATTAAGAGACACAAAGTACTACATGTGAAGTAAATTAGCAACAAGGACGTGTTGTACAGCACAGAGAATGTGGCCATTGTTTTGTAATAACTTTTTTTTTCCGGCCACCCTGCAGAGCTTCTGGGATTTTAGCTTACTGACTGAGAATAGAACCTGGGCCCTCCACAGTGAGAGCAGAAAGTCCTAAACACTGGACCACCAGACAGTTCCCTGTTTTATAATAACTTTAAATGGAGTATAATCTATAAAAATAAATTGTATTACTGTGTTATACATGTGAAACTAATATACTATTGCAAGCCAACTATACTTCAATTTTTTAAAAAAAAGAAAACATACGCCTATATTTTTAAAGAACCATAGCCAACTATTTGAGAAGCCCTACTGAACAAACTAAATGTTACCTTAATCTTACATGATAACCTAATACTGCTTGTGACTGATAGTTCCACAACTTTGTTGGGGTTTGTTTTACTTTTTGATTTTTTTTTTTGGTTGGTCTTATTTGGTTTTGTTGACATATTTTAGCATTTGAAAAGTGTGATTTTTATATTAGGGCTGTCTAGAAGCACCTTACTTTTAGTGATAATAGAATAGCTGCAAGTGTAGCAGAAGACATTGGTGATCTTCCCTTTGTTCCTCCTTTTCCTTACCCCCAGATGTGCGATATTGGCGATGCTTCTAGAGGCAGCTTATCGTCATACGCATATACGCTCATGGTGCTATATTTTCTTCAGCAGAGGAATCCACCAGTTATTCCTGTCCTTCAAGAGGTATTAGTAAAGGAAATTGTATTTGTCATCTGTAGAACTGGATGATTTTTGAGCCCTATTCCTTCTCTAAAATTCTGTGGTTCTGTAGTTAAAATTTTTACTATTTTCCTACAAGTTTTTGTATCAATGCACTAAGTTTGTAATCCATACTAATAGTTTAAAAATTAATTTCAGATATACAAAGGTGAAAAGAAACCTGAAATATTTGTTGATGGCTGGAATATTTATTTTTTTGATCAAATAGATGAACTGGTACGTATTTTAATAGTAAAGATTTTTTACATCCTTGACTGAAAGTTAGCTATACTGTGCTGTAGTGTAGATGGTCAACGATTATATTATCAGTTGTTATATTTATTTATATTGTGATAGTAAAAAAGAAATAGCATATACAGATGATTCCTTTGAAGTTGAAAATATTTTAAGCCAGGTGAGTTTCTAGGAACTGTATCCAAGATTTCTTTACTGACTAATAATTCAAAATGGTTAAGTAGCTTTACTCCAAATGAACAAATAATTTGCTCTGTGATTTCCTACAGAATTTAGAAAAACTCTTGAGTTACAGAGGTATAATAACTAGGTGTCACCAAGGCTCTAAAATTTACTTCTAGATTATTCCACAAACATGCATTCTGAGGTTTGACATTTAAAACCCAGAGCACTTTCTATCTCTGGGTCATAGGGTAGAGATTAATAAACTCATGTAAATGATACTTTAAAATAGAAAAGTTTTATAATTGTTTGTATATATTTAAACTCTAGTTAATTAAAATAAATCCAGATTTATTCCCTAAGATACAAATGACTATTGATATTAACACTTTACTATAGAGCATGATACCTCTTGTTCCTTCTATTTCTAGCCCAACTATTGGCCAGAATATGGAAAAAATACAGAATCTGTTGGGCAGCTATGGTTGGGACTTCTTCGTTTCTACACAGAAGAATTTGATTTTAAAGAACATGTAATTAGCATCAGGAGAAAAAGTCTGCTTACAACTTTTAAGAAACAGTGGACATCAAAATACATTGTTATTGAAGGTACTAATAAAATTGAACTTAAAACTGAATAGAATATAGAGATTGAACTGATGAGGGTATTCTTGGTCCTTGCAGAGCTCTTCCCATGTCACCCTGAGCCACTGATCAGGATGCGCCTAGCAGTTGCACTGTTATTGTCCATGTCAGGCAGACTGATCTGTTTCCTTTTTTTTAATGACTGATGCCCTCATGTGAGGTTTCTTACAAATCCAAACATCTTTGTTCACCATAATAAGTCCTTTATCTTTGTTTAACAAGTTCTGGAGAATAAGGTTGCTATAGAGATAAGCCAGCTTCAAAAATTTGTCATTTAGTTCGCCCATGCTGAATGCTAGGATTCATGGGCCATTTGTGTTTGTATTTGATTGTTTATTTCCAGTTTGGGGGATTTTAATTTTTATCTTTGTAGATTTTTTTGTATTAACTTTATATATATTTGTATATACCCAGATAAATTTATATATATACATACACTTTTTTCTTTTAGATATTTGTGGTCGTTATTCTGAGACTTGCTTTTTACACTGAATAGTTTTACTTTGATCCTCTATTCTGTCTCTACACCAAATTATTTTCAGTGGTTGCTCAGTAGTGATTTGTATAGTTGGTTTACAATGTTACATTAGTTTCCTGTGTACAAAATAGTGTTTCAGTGTTTTTATAGATTATATTCCATTTAAAGTTATTATAAAATATTGGCTGTATCCCTTGTGCTGTACAATATATTCTTGTTGCTTATTTGTTTTATACATGGTAGTTTGTGTCTCTGAATCCCATAGCTCATCTCGCCCCTCCACACTTCCCTTTCCCCTCCTGGCAGCCACTAGTTTGTTCTCTATATCTGTGAGTCTATTCTGTTTTGTTATATTCATCTGTTTGTTTTATTTTTTAGATTCCACCTGTAAATGACCAATTTGTGAGATTTTAATTTTAAAGACAAAATGGAGTTTAAATGCTTAAAAATGGAATTGAAAATGCTTAAGAAATATTTTGTTGATTTTAGTCTTCTATAATTTTTTTAACTATAATCACCTAAATAATGTGTTACTTTAGGTTTTGCTATTGTCATTACTTCTGCTAATTTACATTATTAAAATATGATGACCACTTACAAAATTAAATTCAGATGATTATGGATATGGTTGTAACTTTTTAGTATCCCATAGCTAAAAACAGAACTTTGTCTTAAACCTTTCCATTATCACAGTCGATTCTTATGGTCTGCCAATTATTAATTTGTTTTTGAATTTTTGAAACCTCATTATCTTTTGCTTTTAACTCTACATTATTTATAAATGAGCCATTAGTAGTAGGCTGTCTTAGAAGGAAGACTTCTGACTAGTTACTCTGGAATCGAGAAATTTCAGTGGTGGTAGTTTGCAATGTTTGTACAGTAACTAATACTGCAGTATCTCTGCTACAGCAAGCAAACACCAGAAATACTTCCACACAGCACACACAGAAGTCACCAGGGGAAAGCGTGGCCAAACCTTCTAGAAAGGCAACCTTACAGCAAGCGTTACTATAGGGTCAAACTGAGTGTAGGCTTCTCTCCAGTAAACTCATAGTGGCTCCAAATCCCAAATGGTATACCCCAGTTACTGTACATGAGAAGCGTAACAAGACAACCAGAAGGGTGCCTCTTTTTACTTCTTTACTCCTCTTACATGTACTGTATACCTCCTCCATTGTCCTAAGTATTAGATGAGCCTCGAAAAAGGTTCTGTTTTGTTTCCCCTTTGCTTGTTTTTGGTTTGGTTTGGTTTGCTTGTTTTGCTTTTAAGGTTTATTTATTCATGTATTTTTGGCTGCATGGGTCTTGTTGCCATGCACAGGCTTTTTCTAGTTCCGGAGACTGCAGGGCGCTTCCCAGTTGCAGAGAGCGCAAGGCCTTCTCATTGTGGTGGCTTCTCTCACTGCGGAGCACAGGCGCCAGGGCTTCAGTAGTTGCAGCGTGTGGGCTCAGTAGTTGTGGCACACAGGCGTAGTTGCCCTGCAACGTGTGGAATCTTACTTCCCCAACCAGGGATCTAATCTCAGTCCTCTGCATTGGAAGGCAAATTCTTAATAACCACTGGACCAACAGGGAGGTCCCAATAAATTTATTTTCCAAAATGATTCTTTGTAAGGCTGTTAATTAGCAGGAACATTCAGTGGTAAAATGTTTTAAATATATTTGTGGCCTCTATATGCCTCTAAAACTAGTATGATTTCGTGATATCAGACTAACATGTCTTTTCCAAATAGTATTTTGTTGTCCACAATGAAGCACCTTCTCATAATATGAAGGACTCTTAAGAATTCAGATATAAAGCAATATCCTCATTTTTGATGGATACTTCTTGGAAAAAACTTTTCATACATTTAGAAATATATAGTACTTAGCTGTATTATAGACTTGAAGCTCATTAAAAACGCACTCATTTTAATACTTTTAAGTATGTAACACTTTCTTTTTGTTATATAGACTTCACTTAATGTATAAATAGTGGTATTTCCTATTTATATTTTTTTTGTTTTCATTAATTTTCTTTACTTAGATCCATTTGATTTGAATCATAATCTTGGAGCCGGATTATCAAGGAAAAGTAAGTTTTGCTTTGTTTATAAATAATAATGCCTTCTCTTTTCCTGTTAATCCATTTAATTGAGACTTTACTCTTTTTTTCTAAGTGACAAATTTTATCATGAAAGCATTTATTAATGGGAGAAGAGTATTTGGAATTCCAGTCAAAGGATTTCCAAAGGACTACCCCTCAAAAATGGTAAGTGTCTGTTGGAAATACCAAAAAACTAGTTCCAGAAGCCTTTTAAGCACCTAATTTGTATACATTACTTCAGTAATAACCTAAATACTCCAAAGTTTGGTGAGTCTAGCCACAATTAAAGCCTTTTCATAAACATAGCTATTTTGAAGTCATTTGTCAGCAGCACGGGGAGAGATAGCCAAAAGTGAACTTTGGGTGGATTTTCCTAGATTTAGGAAAATCTAAATTTTCCAGTCTGCTTGCAAAGAATAATAAATACCTTAATGAAGCTAGGAGAGACACAGTGCTCCCTGTGCTAAAAATCTGTCCTCATATAACCTGATACTCAGGTTTTTATGGAACCACACTCAATAAAAGCAAAACAAAATTACATTATAAAAATTCATTTTAGTGAGAAAAAAGGGGAAGGGGCTAGGAACTAGAGTGTTGTATGTTAAAAATAAAGGGGTTTTTCTCCTGCATTAATTTTCCTAATTAAGGCTTTTTAAATGAACTTTAAGTTATCAGGTGTGTAAGCATGTTCAGCATTTGATTACATCTCTGCATCTAGTTTTTGCTAGATATTGCTGTGGCAGTCTTCTACAGCCTGCTTCTGAAACTTGTTCTAACAGATCACCTGGGGATTTTGTTAAAATGCAGATTCTGACTCAGGAGGTCTGGGGTGGGGCCCAAGACTGCATGTCATGCAAAGCCCCAGGTGATGCCACCTCGCTGGCACCCAGCTTCATGTCAGTGGTAAGGAGGCTAGAATCCAGGCCATTGTCTTTCCTTTCCTCTGATACTTCCTTCAGAAGCCACAGCAAAGCAGCAGCACATAGCTTCTTTCTTTTTAGGTTTTAGCCTTTTGTTTTTATGAGAAAATGAAGTTTTTGTACCTGGCCTCAGTTTTCCCCAGATCCTAGGAAGCTGACTCACAGGCATATGTAGTGCTCTTATTTAGAGTTGTGCTGAGGGAAAAGGTAGGGTTAAAGTGTTCTGCACGGTGAAAAGAAATGAACCAAAATGAATTCAGGTAAACCTATCCTGAATTACACCTCTTAATGGTTTTAGATTTTTTTATTTAAACAATATAATAATAATTATTAAAAATAATGATTTGTCAATGTTGAGATATAAGATCCCTGATTGATACTGCTTAGTTGTTGTGTTTGGATCTGTTATTAGTAGTTTAGGTTTTTATGTATTTATATTCTGCTAGGAGTACTTTTTTGATCCAGATGTGCTAACTGAAGGAGAGCTGGCCCCAAATGATAGATGTTGCCGCATTTGTGGGAAAATTGGACACTTCATGAAGGACTGTCCTATGAGGAGAAAGTAAGTGAACATTCAAAAGGGTGGTTTTGTTTTTATTTTCTTACTGCACCAGTTTTCAAATGAGATTCTCTTGTACCAGGAAATAAACATATTAAACCCAGAAGTTCTCAGGTAACTTTGAGATTTTTTACAAGGAAAATGAAGTGATTTAAAACCTGCCTTTAAGTCAGATGGCTAGGATTAACTTGAGTGTACAGGAGACAGTCTTCCAGGCCTCGTCCCTTTTCCTAATTTTGGGCACGTCCCTCATCACCCCATGATCATTTGGTTATTACGCTTTCCAACAAGGCTGGAAGAGCAGAAGAGTAAACTGAAATTCCTCCATTTTACAGCAATGAGAAGTCCAGAATCATTTCAGTCATTGAAAAGTAAAATGGGGTTTTAAGGATCTCAGTTATACTTTTGATGTACAATAACTGGGGTATACTGTGTGGGAATTGAGACTCAGTGATACTGTACTGCACTATAGGACCCTTCACTTGTATGCATTTTAATTCTTAATAATTATTGTGTGTTGTGGTGACCTACTTGATTTGATCATCATGCTTTCTTCTGATAATGTTTTCAGGAGGGCAGAGGGAGATGTTTTTGGTTGCTTGCTTGGGACATATTCTTGTTTTGTGGTGGTGGTATTTTTAAGTGGACGATAATATTCTCATTTAAAAACATGGTACTCTGGAAAGAGTGATTGAGGATAGGAGGCAAAAAAATAAATAAAAATAAAAACATGGTACTTAAATCACCATCTGGAATTCAAGGCTCTTATTTCTTACTTTATTGTTTATTCAGATAGTAGCCACTGATCCTGTAGGGCAAGGAAGAAATGATTTTGACAGTTTAAGAGCACAAAGCGCCTTGTAACCACTGTTCCACTGTGAACCTAAAGTGTTATGTCTCAAGTTTCCAGTGATAGTAAAGAATGCTAGTGGGCCAGAAAGTTTTAAGAAATCAGTCCAAAGGTAATTTGAGTTTTATTACATCAGTACCAGAGTAGGTATTAAATTAAGAAGTTCCACTAATTGCAAAAACTGGTTTCATAGCATTAGAGTAATTGTGAAAATGAACAACTACACCCTTAAGCTCTGAGGGTGTTTCTTAACACATTATTGACCAGAGATGTATTAATGCCACAGATGATAGTTTCTGCAGAAATCCCCCAGTCAAAAATATGTTAATAGAGAAGATGGACTTAAATTCTTATTTTTCCCTCTGATGCCTTCTGTATCTAGTTGTCTCCTAAACCTGGAGGGGTCTTAATAGTTTGTTAGGTTTCTGTTCAGATTTTTCCTGCTAGTATTATATCTTCTACAGAGTGAGGCGACGGCGAGATCAGGAAGATACCCTGAACCAAAGATACCCTGAGAACAAAGACAAAAAAAGCAAAGAAGATAAAGAAATTCAAAACAAGTACACAGAGAGAGAGGTGTCAACAAAAGAAGATAAACCCATACAGTGCACACCTCAGAAAGCCAAGCCAGTGAGGGCAGCTGCTGAGCCAGGGAGAGAGAAAATCCTCAGGCCACCAGTGGAGAAGTGGAAGAGACCGGAGGACAAAGACTTAAGAGAAAAACGTTGTTTTATCTGTGGAAGAGAAGGGCACATTAAAAAGGAATGCCCTCAGTTTAAAGGCTCTTCAGGTATGGATGCCCATCATGCCTTGATGTTTGCACTCACGTCTCAAGGGAAATCTCTTTTTTAGAGTTCTTAACTATTTTAGTTATATGTACAGATCTATTTACTGGATAAGATTTTGTTTTTCAGAAGGTAAACCCACCTCCCCCACCTTTACTTCTAATTCTCTATGTGTTTTTAAACACTTATTCCTGGTTTTTTAAGAGGCTTATCAGTCTGGTTGACTCTGATAAGTTTGGTTGACTTTTCAGATAAGATTATCAATGAATTGAAGGCCTAGTAATCCCCAGTACTTAAAAAGTTAAGACAGGATTCCCCAGCACCCCCCAGGCCATGGACCAGCCCTGGTCTGTGACCTGTTAGGAGCCGGGCTGCACAGTGGGAAGTGAGCAATGGGTGAGCAAGAGAAGCTTCATGTGCTGCTCTCCCATCACTCCCCATGGCTTGCATCACCTCCTGAACTACCACCGCCCTGCCCCCCCTCCACCTGCCCCCAGCACCCAGTCCATGGAAAAAATGTCTTCCATGAAATGGTCCCTGGTACCGGAAAGGTTAGGGACTAGCGCTGACCTAATTGACCAGAAAACAAGCTACCACTTACTTGAGCTTTCCCAACTCAGTATGTGCACTTTTGAAATGGAAGAGCCACGGGTAGGCTTAGCTGAAGTGATCTCAGGACACCATACTTTGTGTGCAGGAGCCACTTCTATTGTTGTTTAAACACATGTGCTCACAGGCCTAAAAGGGGGAGTAGAAGAAGGGCGACACAGTTAGCGGTGCCTCTGCCTGCAGAGAATTACCTTTGCATTTCATCATTTTCTTCAGTGAGCATGCTTATTCTTACAATGAGGGAAAATGTAGTTTCTATCCATAGTTGAATGTCATCCATAGATCTTGCCCCTGTGATTTGTCGGATCTTAATTTGCTTTTTCTATGAAATGGGTGAAGCATCCATTTGGGGCATATTTTTAACAGACTATTAAAAGTAACGGTACCTTGGAGCGGGGAGGGTAAGTTACAGTTTACAAGGCAGTTTATACACTCTCACTTTTTTTCTCAGAACAAACCTGTGAAAGTGGATGAAATTTATCATAAAAATTAAACCCTGAGAAATAATGTTTTTGATTAAAGTAGTGACCCTGTTCATGTCCTCAACTGTTAAGTGTCTATGGACAGCATAAAAAACGTCAGCACTGAAAGTTTCCTTAAAATACTCACTCTAGTCCTTGTCATTCCTGGAACACTGATACCTCTCTTCCACTTTATGATACCATATCAGCAATATAGTATCTCTTTTTTTAAGATAGGAAAGTTTTAGATCAGCCATCCTTATTTTTTTAAATAAGCTTTATATGAAAAGTAAGTTCTTAGATTGTTTTATTATTAATTTTAAAATAGAATGTAAATGTTTATGAAATGTTTATACTGCTTCAGCTTGTCCTACTTTTAAGGAATTCAAACTTTTATTGCCCTCACAAGGGACATATAGCAGAATAAAATGATGTTTTATAATTATAAGGGTAAATGTTTAAAAGAAATTAAAATAAAAGCAATAGCTAACAGGCATTGAGCACTTTCGGTGGGTCAGGCACTATTTAAGTACTTTACATGGGTAAACTCATCTAATTTTCACCAGAGCCCCGTTAACTGTGGTATTATTTTGATATCCTCAGTTACAGATGAGGAAACTGTAAACAGTATATATAGATAAGATGTAATACAGTCTCATCAAAATTCCTTCTGTAGGCTACCCTTCAGAACAGCTCACTGTCTGCTTTTACTCAGAGCAGGAAGTTCATGGGCATTGCCTTCCTCTTTGGTACAACAAAGTGGTGCGGGGATGCCCCTGCACTCCCCCAGCTTGGATGGACCTCTCTAGCTAGTAGCAAGTTTTAAGTTGCCAGTAGTAAGTGGAGTAAACGAAATAAGTGAAGCTCTCAAAATAGTGAAAGTAGGGAATTCCCTGGCGGTCAAGTGGTTTGAATTTGGCACTTTTACTGCCATGGGCCTGGGTTCAATCCCTGGTCAGGGAACTAAGATCCTACCAAAATTTTTAAAACATAGAGCCATAATCCTGGCCATCTAGAGGGTAGCAGCCAATCAAGAGGGACAGGGGCTGTCCTGGGACAGGGATGAGGTATTATCAAGCGTACAGAAAATACTAGAATCTTGGTTCCTCCAGATTGCCATGTTTTTGTATTAAATCAAGTAGTCATAATGTAAAACAAAGAGAGGAGGGGCTTCCCTGCTATCTCAGACTGTAGAGAATCTGCCTACAATGCAGGAGACCTTGGTTCAATTCCTGGGTCAAGAAGATCCCCTGGAGAAGGGATCTCACTTCAGTATTCTTGCCAGGAGAATTCCAGAACAGCATAGCAGGCTACAGTCCATAGGGTTGCAAAGAGTCAGACACGACTGAGTGACTAACACACACACACACACACACACACACACACACACACTAAAGAGAAGTAAAAGAGGAGTGGGGCTAAAGTATGGTGAATTTCCTTCAATAGCAATTAAAAATAATCAGCTTCTGTCTAAAGATTATGTTCTTCCTTCCCATTTCTTCTAATACATTAGAATTTTGTCCACATAATATTTTGAGTAGAGCTTCTCTGTCACCTCAACAGAAAATCTTTCTGTGAAAATTTGAAACAGGGCCACTGTTTTCAATTTAAAGTAGGAACAAAAAGTGCTCATTTCTTTCTCAGGTCTGTCTAAATCAGATTGTGTATTTGGATCCCCTTCTTCACATAACCCTTTGAGACCAGCTGGCACATTTGTTCAGGTAAACCTAGCTCAGACCGGAGCAGGAAACCCTCCCGCCTCTGCCTCTCCCTCAAACACTCCGTGAGTGCGAGCAGCTCTGGGCCAGGTGCTCGGGAGGGGCCGGGCAGGTCCCGCGGCTCCTCTGCCCTGCCCGAGGTGCCGTGTGCGGTGAGCTTGCTGTGCGCCAGCTGCCGGGCGTGCCTTTCGGGGTCCTGCAGGTGTGTCTTGCTTGTCGATTAACTTGCAAAGTTCTGCCACCCACATGCCTAATTTCAGCTCTCCTTGGATTTGGTTACAGTTTTCAGACTGTCTCGGATGCTGTTCCTTTCGACTTTGTAAACCAGTCTATTTCGTTTTTTAGGCAGTGCTTTTACATGAAGACCAAAAGAAACAAAAAACATCTATATTTTTGAGTCCCCAGTCAGGTATGTGGGTTTTTAAAAAAACAAATGTGTGTTATTTTATTTACTGCATAGCATACCACATGCCTTTTGAGGCACTTCCTTTAAATAAGTGGTTTTAACAGAGATTGGATATCAGAATAACTTGGGGAGCTTTTAAAAATAGACTTGCCCTGCCCCTACCTTCATTTCCTAAATCAGATTCTTCGAGGGTTAGGCTTAGGCCTGTATTTTTTTTTTAATGTTCTAGGTGATTCTTATGGTTCCTTGAATAGGAACCATAGTCTCTAGTTATTTGTTCCTCTTCTACACTTTTTGTTTCTGCTTTGAAATTGCCACTGTCTTGTCAGCAGTATATTCTCCTCATGGAGATTATTTGCCACCAAAGAAAGAAAGTAATTGTGTGCCTGAACACTCTCTCTCTCAACTATGTCACTTACTGGTTCCTTCAACAAATATTAAGCCACACCTCCCACCCACCCACCCCCTCCAAGTGCTGTGTGTGGGCCTAAATACTGAAGATAAAAGCCCCTTCTCTCATTTACTCTGCCTTCTTGTCAGAAAAGAGACAGACATATTTCATGCGGCGATAGATGTTAAGAAAAATAAAGAAGGAAAAGGAAAAGAGAATGTTGGGAAGGAGGCAGCCTCTGATAAAGTAACATTTCAGCAAAGAATCAAAGTGAAAGGCAGAAGCAAGTTGAGAAGAACTTGGATTTAGACTCTTACAATAGAGCTGAAAATAGTTTTGTCCCGAGTGGCAACACTAAGCCGGATGAGGGAGAAGAGGGTGACTGGGGGTGAGGTCAGGGTACACGGCTGTGGGTCACACAGCCCCTTCAGCAGTGGGAGGGATGGGTTTTTTTCTCTATGTGAGATGGGCAGCTGTTGGAGGCAAAGGAATGGTGTCATCTGAATTGCCTTAAAAGGTTCACTATGGCTGCTGAGGAGGCAAGGGTGAAAACCCAACAAGGAGGCTCCTTCTGTAGTTAGGGAAGAGATGAGGACAGCTTAGACATGGGTGGAAGGGATGGAGGAAGTGAGGCCTGCTCATGTTCTGGAGACTTTAAAGGTCGTGCTGACATGATCGTTGATGAGTTGGATGATAAGGCATGACAGAAAATGATGAGATTTTGAGACTCAGAGGTGACACTGTGATTTTTTTGTTCTGAGCAGCTAGAAGAGTGAAGTTTGAATTTCCTGTGCTGGGGAACCATCGAAAGAACAGATTATGGGGAGAAATAGAGTTCAGCTTTAAATGTATAAGTTTTAAGAGACCTGCTAGATATTGTGGTAGAGGTGTTGAATAGCCAAGTAGATATAGGAAGGAGCCTGGCATTTAGAGCAGAAGTCCAGTCTACAGATAAAAATTTGAGGATGATCAGTATGTAATTGATGGTAGTTAAGCCCTGGATCTGACTGCAATCACTTAGGAAATACATGCAGATAGAAAAGAGAAAAGCATGTAGAGGCTTAGGCAAAATAAACCAAGGAGACAGACACACACCCTCAGAAAAAAATGTTTAGCAGTAGGGATGGAGAAGCAGCGAGTTTGATCTTTTAATGGAGCTTTAATGAAGAAAGTGCCTCAAAGAAGGGGCAGTTGGCTTTGTGCAAATTGCTTCTGATAGGTCTGTTCAATGAGGACTGAGAATGCAGCATTTTATTTGGCAACACAGAAGTCCCTCACTGTGACTTTGAAAAGAGTCATTTCTTTGAACTAGGGGGCCAAAAAACCTGCTTGTAGGGAGTTGTGCTGAGAAGTGCTGGAAGAATTGTAGGGTACCTGACCTCAGCTATGGCTCCGTGTCAGGGCCCCCATCCCTACCCAGTCCCCCCAGGCCCAAGGAAAGATGCTGAAAGGGAGGGGAAAATAGGATGCTATGAAGGCCTTTCTTGGTGTTTCAAGAGTAGTTTTAATCCTGAAATAGAAGGGAGAAATTTGAGGGGTAAGAGAAAAATCAAAGTAGCATAATGAATCACTTTTTCAGCTTTTTTTTTTAAGGGGATGAAACTATAAAACATGATGCAAACAGCTGGCCTTTAGACACTTAACTAGTTTTGTTTAATATCTCTTTCTCTTCTCCACTCTAATTTTCAATAAAGTAGGATTAAAGAAGGGAAATTGTTTAAAAAATAGAGCTTGTGTACTCTTTTTAACTTAATTGTATAGTTGATGAGAAAAGTTAAGTTTTTGACATTTTAAAGCTTCATTGATAAAACCTGACAGTTTCATATATAATGTAAAACAAGCTGCCTATTTTGTGGTCAGCTTTTACATGTTGTATGTTATTGCTAAGGTGCAAACAGTGTTTGCTTGTAGATTGCAGCGATGCCTGTGTTAGTTATAGAGAATGAAGAGGCCAAGCCGTCTGTCCCATCAGGTGTCAGTTTCTGAGAGACAGCACTCCCAGAACCTTGGCAGCCTCCCCAGCCCCACAGCAGATAGAGCTCTTCCCTGCTGGCACCAGCCCAGGCTGCAACAAGCCAGGGCGCAGTGGTCTCACCCTGGAAAAGCTAACGAAGCTCCAGGTGAAGGGCATTTGGCTGTCTCTACTTCGAATGTTAACAAGGAAAATAAATTGAATCATTAAATTATTTAAATACTTCTGTTTCTGTTAGTACCAAGATGAATTATCTCAAGTATATAAAATGATTTACTTAGAAATAGGCCTTTATTTTTATAATATGTGAATACTTTACAGTTGTGTTTTTTTAATGATCGGGAAAACCATTCGAAATGGCATCAAATTTCTCTACAATCACAGAGGTAGAATGTCGCAAAGAGAAACAGAAATCTTGGAAGAATTGCCGCCCTCACCCGAAAGGGGAACATGGTATCCATGAAAGGTGAAGACAGAGGAGATTCTGTAAGAACAGGCAGGAGCAGCTCTTTCCTGGGAAGGTTTTGTAATTGTTCTCAGTGGAATGCATGGACTTAAAAATAAGAACAGTTCTACTGGGAAAACCCTCAAAATGAAATGGACTGAAATGAGAATGGGGTCTGTTCTGAGAGGATTTGATTGACAGTGGGAGTGGCCATGAAACATGGATGAGGAGATTGACAAGCTGCTCTGAAAGCTCCTTCAGCAAATGAGAGTGGATGGGAGACAGGCTCCACTGCAGTGTGTGGGGCTGTTTCCTGTAGATCCTCTGAGAGTTTGAAGGTCACATAGTTACCAGATGTAAAGAAGGCAAAAGACTGTTGTCTTTACAAGCTTCAGCCTTGAATAGGCATTTCCAGAAAACTTTACTTAAGAAAATACTGGTCCTTGCTTAGTTGAGATTTGTTTTGTCAAAGATAAGATGTTTATGAATACCAGCTTTGCCGTCAGATTGCACAGTGTGATTTGTAGCTTTGTGATCTTATCCTCCATTGCTTCAGTTTCCTCATCTGTTAAATGGGGTAATAATAATACTTACTTTGTAGGACTGTTGCAAAATCTATGTTTTGCATAGAACTTAGAACAGTACCTGCATGCTGTGAGAGCCTCTACTGGTGGGCGCCGATGGCATTTGGTGTCCTGCAGGACATCTGTCAGCATTGCTTCTGCTAAAGATTTTATGCATCTTGAAAATAAAATTTTAATATAACTTCTTAAGTGGGGGAAAAGTACAGATGTTAGACATATACCTAGAAATGGCAATACCAATTGACAGTAGGTTAGGATTTCAGTAAATTATCTTCTGAGTGAAGATTTACATATTTATAAATCTTTTGAATAACCATAACTTAAGCTTACTACAGAAAAAAAAAAGTTATTGCAATAAATAAAGTTTGCTTTCTACCAGAAAAAAAAAATTTATAGGAGGTTAAAACTTATCTTTTCTAATAAACTCTTCAAGTTATTGACAACTATTAATACTGTCAAATTTATCCATGAAAAATTTACACGAGTTATGTATGTTATGTGAAATGTCTCAACATTAAGTAGGATTAAGTTTCCAGGAAGCTGTTTCTTTTCACAGACTTTATCTGTGATGGGTGGGTGATTTTCTAAGGAGAACCTGCTAGTGTGTACAGCCCCTGCTCTTCGGCAATAGCTGAAATGACCTTAGAAGAAAGAGGTGAGCTCCTCTGAGCTCCAGTCCCGATTATAAAATTGGCAATAGCACCATCTGTCTTGTGCTGCTGAGGGTAAAGCAGCCACCCACATCCGATAATCAGCCAAGTTCTCTTTCCTCTCCTGATACTTCCTCCATTCCACTAAGCTACATACAGTTCTTGACTCTCAAATGAGACAGCAGTAGATGGAAAATCCCACGAGTTTCCTTGCTCTTGTTTCCTCCCTCCCTCACATACACACAGCTAACAGTGCCTTCGATGTTCAGTAAGTTTTATTGATGAGAGGTGGACTCATTTTGACAGAGTAAAGAAGAGTGGGAGAGGGATCAAGAACATGAGCTTTAAAGTCAGACTTACTCTGGTTTGACATCCAACCCAGTCGTTTACTAGCTCCATTACCTCTGTCCAGTTAGTGAGCCTCTCTGCCTCAGTTTCCTTGTCCATAAATTGGGCACTGTAAGGATTAGTTTCATATATGTAAAGCCCTTAACACCGTATCTGGCACACATCACTTGATAAAATTATTACTCCTCTTATTGCTGTAGTTAACAGAAAGTCTCCAACTATGCTCTGACTGTCTAACTTCTAGGACAAATATATAACAGAAATTTCTAACACAAGAGTATGTGGAGATTGAAGAACCATAGTCACAAACTGTTCAGTATGAGAATCTCAAACTAGCATTTGTCTATTTCTTAATCCTCTAATGTTTTTTGGAAAGAAAATTACTTTTCAAAAGAAACTACCTCTGTGTCTTTGTTTATTCCATTTTAACCCAAGGGTTTGAAATCTTAAATATTGGAGATGCTCTAAGAGAGTGGTGAATATCTTTTCTCCTTTATGGTAATGTATGCTTTTTTCCTTGACCAGGATGTTAAAGCTTACTTATTAAAAAACAAAAGCACAGTGGTCTTTATGATAGTAAATTTAAAATAATAGAAGCACTTTTTGAAAACCATATGGGAAGATCTTATCATCAGTGAATATATAGATTATTGTTTTTCATACCCTTCTTGATATTCCAGTATATGAACATAATTATGTATTTAACCATTCTTTATTAATGGAACTAGTTCTTTTCAAATATTTGTTATATCAGTGTCTTCAAAACTTTTTTGCTTGCATACTCGCTCCCAAAATGTTGAACCACCCATATATCTCCTTGTATGTGTTTAAGTTGGCATCTTAGTTTTTTGTCATAGTTGCAAAACATGTGATTTCTGGAGGTTTTTTGGAAGATATTGGCATTTTAAAAACAAAACTTTTAAATCAGTCTTTTTAAATGTATCAAATGAAATATAAATATTATTGCAGACATTTTACATCTTTTTTTTTTCTCCTTGAATTCTTTTGTTTCACTTCCATGGAATTTTATCTTAATAAGATATATTTTTGTCATATATATTTCAAGCATTTTATTGACTGGCCACAAAAGTGTTCATAAAATTGAATTTTTCAGCTTTTTGTTAAATCTCAAAGTGTAAAAATGTCTTCTAAAATGTTTATAGTTATTAGAAGAATATAATTGACCAAAACCAATGTTACAAATTTTGATTAAAAATTGCTTCCTATGTTTACTTACTGAAAATGACTTTCATTTAATTAGATGAGACTTTTATCCTATGCATTCATTTATCTTCAGAGTAGTACTACTTACTGCATGAATGAAACAGTGAATCATTTGTCTTCCTAATCTTTTGTTTTATACTAAATAAACATTGTGAAACCTCACTAGTCTTTATAATAGCAAATTACAAGGAATAGAAGTAAGTCTTGGAGTCGGGGAAGGGAAGATATACAACAGTGCCACTCAGTTGTTTTCATTCCTTTTTAATCAAATCACCAAAAAATCACATAAATCGTATCATCAGAACTTATTCTGATGGTTATCAGCTATCAGTTAATTTTATGAAAGCTAAAAATTTGGGCTTTTATTAGATGTATTCACATGTTGCTACAGATCCCAGCATTTTGTGTGCTTCTCTGCCTCCCAAGACTTTTTCTTTTTCACTTAGGGTAATGTGCCACATTAAGAGGTGAATGGTTATAACACACGTGTCTCTCTCTCTCTCTCTTTCTGTCTTGTGAAAGGGTAAAGAGAAAGTGGTATGATTCCTGAGAACCACCCTAAAGCCTGGGCGACAAAGACATTTCTCAAAAAGAACTCAGATAAAAATTGAAGCACTGTGGTCAACTCTCTCAAAACTCTACCCACTTGTCCTCTTAAGCTATTCAGGAATAGCTTAATACCATGTACCCAAGGTTGAAGACCACTGTCTATATAAAACACTGCAATGTCAGTTTGCATATTTGTCTAGTTATTTCCTCAGGATAAATTCCCACTTAGGAGAATAATAGGTTTAAAAGTAACCATATTTTGAGAGTGATACCAATAATGCCACATTGTGATTGTGGACAGTTTCAGAGAATCAGTCACAATTTTCCCATACCCTTGCTTCATTTAGGATAGTCTTTTTTTGCCAGTCTGCTTGAAGTTCTGTTCTTACCATTGAATGCTAACAATTTTCCATATTTTCATTTGTATTTCTTCATGTTACATCTTGGTATTTTTAAGTATTCATTTTTGTCTTTAGTTCTTTCTACTTAGAAATTTATTCATGCTTTGTCAAATATGTTATAGTATCCATCATCATCACCAGTTTATTATTCTTTCAACCTCATTTATGATTTATTTTGCCATGGATACATTTGTTTCAGTAGTTTGTTCTAGCCAACTGTATGGTAGTTTCAAGTCATGCTTACACATTTTTAAGAATTTCATGTTCTTCCCCCAGATTACATAAAAATTCATATTTTATTTATAGTAGTTTTATCTTTTTTTCTTGACCGAACTGTGCGGCATGCAAGTTCTTAGTTCCCAACCAGGGGATCAGACCCTGCAGCGGAAGCACAGAGTCCCAACCACTGAACCAGGGAAGTCCCATAGTTTTATCTTTTTGTGTGTGAATTTTTTTACATGAAGCTTCTTCAGGTATGTTGAGATTTTTATATACATAGATACACACACCCATATATATATATGTATGTATGTATACAGGGGACTACATGTTTAAGTGATAAGTAATAAAACTAAGTATTATTCTTAGAACGGTTTCTCAACATTTGGGCAAAAAATTTTTTAAAGATCTAAATAATATAACAACTACTCATCTACTAGAGAATTGGCCTTATTTTTTCATATTTTCTTTTCAGTCATTTATTATTAATAAGAATTCAGGTACCCATTCTTTTTTAAACTCTTAATATGTATCCTTTAACATGTATATACTTTAGTATACATGTCCTTGGTGAATTTTTAAATTTAAATGACTCACACTGTATAATATGAATGTTTTACAACTTGCCTTTTATATCTAACAATGATTTTGAAATTTATATATGTTGTATATGGATTTAGTCTCTCTTTACAGCATTGCATCGTATGAATACAGAATATTTTATGTAAACATCACCTAGTACATGAGCATTTAGATTATGTCTGGTGTTTTGCTGTTATAAGCAGTGTTGTGGTGAACACTCTTGTGTGAGTCTTCTTGAGCATATTTGAGAGATTCTATAGGATTTGAGTACCTGGAAATCAATTTGTTGTGTTGTAGAGCATTTTCATATGTGCATATGTGCCTTTTCAACTTAAATACTGTCAGATACCCCCTAATTGGCTGAAACAGTTGCCACTTATATCAACAGTGTTTATTCATACAAATATGATGAATGAAAAAATACTGTGGTGTTCTAATGGATTTTTTTTTTTTTTTACCTCTGGTGATGCTAAGCACCTTTTTATATGCTTACTGGCTATGAATACCATGTATTTATTATTACATACATTCTAAATGTTTTCCTCCAGTATATCTTGTCTTGCACCACTTCAGTTTTTTAATTTTGAGATAATTAGATGATTGGTTTTCCCTTTTCATGGATATGTGATTCATGACTTTAGGTTTGTCTTTCAGAAATTTTTCCCTCACCTGAAGTTGTAAAGATATCCATCTATATTTTTTTTCTAATAGCTTTAAAACTTTATTTTTCTTATTTAGATCTTTATTCTATCTGGTTGTATGTAGAATATGAGGTACTGATATAAATTTTTGTCCCTTAAGTGAAAAGCCTTTCCTCAGTACTTCATGAAGTTTAGAATGTCAAAGACGGGTATTTTTGACCAATAGACACTCTGTGGTATGAATATAGTATTTATACTCATAGAGTGCTTCGATTCTTCCTGCCATATCACTGATTTTTCACTGTGAGTTGACTCTCAGGATATCTTGCTTTGGAAAGTTTGCTTTTGAGGGGGCATAAGTTTGTTTGCATACTTAATAAGTTGACTTTGGACATTTTAGAAAGTATAGTTTAGACAAATTGAAAGTAAAAGCCATTTATACTTGTCCAATTTTAAAGCATTAACTGTTATTTCAGTTTTGGAGATAAAATCTTCTCATCTTTTTACATCAATGTAATGATAATAGTTAGCATTGATTGAGCACTTTCTGTGTGACAGGTACTGTTCAGTTGTTTTACCTATATTAATTTATTTAATCTTCACAGTAACTCCAAGGGGATAGGTATTATTGTCTTCATTTTACAGATAAGCAAAATGAGGCAATACATATCTGGTTAGTGGTGTTTTTCAAATGCGTTTTTTTATTAATTTTTAGTTTTAATGAAAATATTCATGAGGATTTATAACCTTCATTTTTCATGTTATTAATTATCCTTATCTGCATACCTAATATGTTATTGTGTTTATAATTAGGCATATCACAAGTTCTGGACATTTGCATTATTTGCATACTTTACAAGGTTTCTATGGTTTATATGAATATTCCTTTAGCAAAATTTCTGCACACCTACCTGTCCTTCTGCTCTTCCTTCAGCAGTTAGTGGTTAAGAATTGATACCTTGTTTTACATTGCATTTCTTTGATTAATTTTTATCTACTTACATACTTTTTTCTTTCATATGTTGCTTTTTCTTTCACCAGCTATTAGTGTTTGTCTTTTTTCTACGGATTTGTAATTTCTTTAGTGCTAAGAATAGAAAGCCCTTTTAATAAGTAAAGCATAATATGGTATACTTAGGAAACTCTTTCCCCACTCCAAAATATTCACTACTTCTTATACTTGGACTCTCTCATATTTAATTCTATAATTCATTTGAAATTAGGTAAGGAGGAAAGGTATGATGTGAGAAAGGAAACTTACCTATCCCTTTCCTTCCAAAATTACTTGTTTGACACAATACCAGTTATTGAACAATCTATACTTTCCACCATTGGTTTGAAATGTGTATAATCAATGTGTGTATATCCTTTGTTAGATACTACTTTCTTGTAAGTGATCACTTAAGAATATGTCAATTTTCTTGTTTCATTGAACTGCTTGTTTTGACTCCAGAACAAAATTTATTAACTGTTCTGTGGTGTGCATGTAATTAGCAGTCCTCATTTCTGTCCTTCAGCTGTAAATACAATAAATTTCCTTTTTTTTCTTCTAAATCAGTAAGTTATGGCTACCATGTCACCACTCACAGCTTCATGTCTGCAGAGTAATGACACGAGATATTTATTTCTGACCAAAGAATTCCTTGGAGTTTATTCTGTTTGGTTGCAGATGCAAAGCAGAGCTTTAAAAAGTTCTCCTGGTCTCTGTACCAGTATGAGGTGAGCGTGCATGTCACAACGTGACGTCACTCTAGCAGCTCATCTGCATTTAGAAAGAATATGACGGGGCTTTTGTTATACCTTTTTATATCTAGCCAGATGACTTGATTCAAACAAGTGACGAGTATGAAGTTTCTGTAAATAGTAACCGTAAGAAGTAGTTGTAGAGCGTTTACGATGAAGTGAGGCCTGTTTCATTTATGTTGGGTTTTGTTTTTTCCCCTCCTCTAGGTAGCCTTTCCAGTAAATATATGACTCAGGGAAAAGCCTCAGCGAAGAGGACCCAGCAGGAATCATGAGGGAAGGAAAATGCCGCATTCTAAATGGCCACTCAGGCGTTCCTATTCACTTTGAAAATTAGGTTCATTTTACAGGACACAGCAGCATAGATCAGGCTTCAACTTAACATTTAAGGGAAATGTCAGATTTTTTTTAACTTAATGAAATTGTTAATGAGGAAAAAAATGTTTAATACAGTCTTACCTACTACAGATCCCTATAGATTTAAGGATTTCAATAGAAAGCCATGATGTATGTATTTAAGACAGGTTTTAAAAAAAAAAAAATGTAACTATGGGCCAGTATTCATTGAATACAATTTCAAGCTTTTTAATTATTTCAAAGCACACTAAAAATAGTGGGCTGATAAAATCCTTTTTTTCCTTTATAAATCCTTTTTGTTTGTTTTGAAGAGGGGAAATTATATTTATTGTTGTCAACTGAATCCTTGTGTGAAAGCGTGTCAAACGTGTGAACTGCTACTGCTGTATTTACGATTTACAAACCTTATTTTATTGATATTTGTAGAATTGCTAACATGAATATGAATTACCACCTATTATGTGAGCCTCCTACGGAGGAGCAGTGCCACTGAAGGGCTTTTAGTTTTTTTCCCTCTCTAATTTTAAATTGACATATAACTACTATGATCATAAAAATGAAGTAAGGAAAACAAGAGTCCTGTTTGCTGCTAAAAACATTTGCAAAGGAAAAATGACAAAATAAAAGTAATTTTTACTTTTTATGATACTCCGAAATCAGGGTGGATGACTTTTAAAATCCCTGATGATTAAAGAGGCTGTCTCTGCCAATCACAAGTTTGATTGGTATCATTTTGATCTGACTGGAGCCTTCATAGAACTGTTTCTCTAATTCACGAGCCCTTCAGAAGTGGTCAGAACCATGCCTCGGATTATCATTTTGAAATAAAATCAAGATTTCAACCTGTCATTTTATCCACCTTACTTTCCAATGAGAGTCCTAGGTTTCATGAGGAAACCAGGTGAAGGATTAAGGGCGGTACAGCTCTGCGCCCCTTTATCCCACGCTGCATCTCCATATGCTCGTGTCTCTGGCGTTCACTGACAGCCAATGCCTGCCAAGCCCCGGGGGTGTGCAGACGAGCCGCACAGACTTAAGGGCAGGAATGCATTGGGAGGGCTGCTGGGGGTGCTTGCTGGGCAAGCGTTCCCAGATAGAAGAGGGCTTGAAAGTAGCACACCTGTATGCTTTTCTTTTAAACAAATTCCTTGAAGACATTTTCCACCTAAAGAAGAATCATATCAAAATTAACTTTATTTATTTGGGTTGGGGGTCTTCCCAGAGGACTCAGTGGGTAAAGAATCAGCCTGCAGTGCAGGAGACACGGGTTCGATCCCTGGGTCAGGAAGATCCCCTGGAGGAGGGCATGGCAACCCGCTCTAGTATTCTTGCCTGGAGAATCCCATGGACAGAGGAGCCTGGTGGGCTACAGTCCACAGGGTCGCAAAGTCTGACACGATTGAAGCCACTGAGCCTGCACACGCACGCACATTTATTTTTTTGGCTGCGAGGCTCTGCAAAGTCAACTGGACATAAAATTCTCTTCACTTTCTTTGAAAAGATTTGATACCATTCTGTTGTCTTCTGGCATAGTCACAGAAGACTACAGCCAACCTTATTTTTGTTCCCTTATAGGTTTTATTTTTCTGTGTGGATGCTTCTGTGTTTATTTCTCCTTATACCTTTTGTATCAAACAAAGGTTTGACATTAACTTTTGTCTGAAACAAAAGTGAATCCAGTGTCTCTTCCCACCTAAGTTTTGTTTGTTTTAGAATATATCTTTTTCATAATTTTATTTCTCAGAAATATTTTTTTTCTCAAATGCCTCTCCCAATCATCTCTTTCCTTTCTGTTGGGAAAACTTGTCAAGCTTGATCTCCACATGACTGGCTTGATTTTTAGTGTCATTCTGCCATTCATTTCTCACATCAGTTTTTTGTTACTGTACTTTTAATTTTCTTGAACTTACCTAACCTACCACCCATCACCTTCCTGTTCCTGTCTTTTAGTTTTTTCTTATTATCTTCCTTCTCAGGATGCCATATTTTCATATATCCTTTTAAGAATGTTAAAAAGTTCCCTACATTTTATTCTGATTCCTAGAGTAGATTCTGTCCAGTGAATCTGATAGCTTCGGGCTCGGTTTTTCAACTCCTCACACTGACTCCGTGGGACAGTGACGAGTGCTTGCCTGCAGACCTGGACAATGTGTTGCCCTTGGTTCTTCACTCGCTCTGCTTGGGTGCTGGTCGCAGCCCCCTCTCAGCACCCCAGCCAGGGGACAGGTACATCTGTTCCATGCCGAGTCCAGTTTCCAGGGCGTGGCTATCTTGCAAATGCAGCTGGCCTATCTCTTCAAGCTCCAAAAGTGCCCCGCTACCAGGGTTCTCCCTTCCTCTTCCTCTCAAAACAAACAAAAATATCGAAATCCATTTTCATACCCCCAGTCTACACTTCTTGATCTCTTGCTGAGTGTTTACAGTAACAGCAGATGCACAGTCAGAGGTACTATTAAAGTGTTCGGAGATACTTCAACTTATTTTAAATAAATAAAACCCTAGTGGAAAAAATCCTGTGTAGGTAAGTCAATAGGGTTCATGTTATAGGCAGAAAATTGTTGAAAAAGCTAACAGAATGTAACAAACCTCTCTAAAACTACAAAGATGTGCTCAGTACTTATTTTTTCTTCGAAAGATGGCTTATTTGGATAGCTGCAGTCAAGAATTGAGCATGCTTTGCACTGACTGGAATTCTCGGCTTAATTAGGTTCTGGCTCTACCATTTTTCCAGCTGAAGAGTGTAGCAAATCCCCCTGACCTCTAAGCAGTTCATTTTCCTTGCCTGCAAAAGAAATCATACCTGCCCTTCCACAATAGTGAGGATCCAGTGCGGTCTTACGCAGAGGACACTTTAATGTATAGAACTCTGAAATGAAATCCTCAAGTGCAGTGTTGAACATTTCCCCATTTTAAGTGTTTAACCTATTACTGGAAATCTAGACATGGTTATACCTTGCAACCACTTCCAGCAGTTCCCACACATGCCTCATCGCGACCCCACAGAACAGCTGCTGCTCTGAGATAAGCACGCAGTTTTTACATAGTCATGAAGACACTCTTCTAACTAACGTGTCAGTTTCCTTCAGGGATCTGTACCAGTTTCAGATAACATGAGGTATACCTCATCCACTGACAAGTAGATTATGTGATTGAGCATGTACATGCAAAACAGCCAACAAGTTAAAAACTGAGTTGTTTAGTCCAGTTGCTAAGTCGTGTCTCACTTTTTGACCCCATGAACAGCCGCACGCCAGGCTCCCCTGTCCTTCACTGCCTCCCAGAGTTTGCATAAATTCATGTCCACTGAGTTGGTGATAGTATCTAAAAACTGAGTAGTGTGTACTAAATATTAGGTTGGTGAAAAAGTACTTGTGATTTTTGACCTTGAATTTTAAATTATAACTAGGCTCAAACATCTTTATTAATCAGAATAGGAACCATTAAAATCAATGCAGTTTTGCCAACAAGAAATAATAAGTTTGTTTACTCCTGTAGCATAAAAATCCATCCTTTGGGATGTGATGAACTCTTGCAAAGCATTTTCTGCATCCTGCAGGTTGTATAAGTGTTTTCCCTGCAAAAAGTTGTCAAGAAGTAGTTGGTTGCTGAGAGGTCAGGTGAATGTGGTGGATGAGGCAAAACTTCATAGCCCAATTTGTTCAACTTTTGAAGTACTGGTTGTGTGACATGCATTGTCATGGGGAAGAACTGGGTGCTTTCTGTTGACCAGTGCTGACTGCAAGTGGCTGTAGATGTCGCAGTTTTCAGTGCCTCTCATCATTTGCTGAGTATACTTCTCAGATGTAATGGTTTCACCAGGATTCAGAAAGCTGTAGTGGATTAGACCAACAGCAGACCACCAAACTGACCATGACCCTTTTTTTGGTGCAAGTTTGCTTTGGAGCTTCTAGGTCAGACCACTGAGCCAGTCACCACTGGTTGTATAAAATCCACTTTTCATCGCACATCACAATCTGATCCAAAAATGGTTTGGTACAGTTGCATCGAATAAGAGAGGACGACACTTCAAAAAGACGATTTTTCTTTATTTGCAGTTAGCTCCTGTGGCACCCACTTACCGACCTTTTTCACCTTTCCAATTTGTTTCCATGCAAAACAACCATAGAATGATTGACGCTGAGTTCTTGGGCAACATTTCACGTAATTTTAAGAGGATCAGCTTCGATAATGCTCTCAATTGGTCATTGTCAGCTTCTGATTGCTGGCCACTGCATTCCTCATCTTCAAGACTCTGGTCTCCTTTGCAAAACTTCTTGACCCACCACTGCCCTGTATGTTCGTTAGCAGTTCCTGAGCCAAAAAGGTGGTGGTGTTGAGAGCTGTCTCTGGTGCTTTATGACCCATTTTGAACTCGAATAAGAAAGTCGCTCAAATTTGCTTTTTGCCTAACATCATTTTCATAGTCTAAAATCAGCATGTAGTTAAGTCATTAGCAAAAAACATAAAGTGAGAAATGCACATTAAAATGGTATATAACAACCACATTTATATAAGAATGTATCCCAATATCAAGTGGCAGATTTCAATAATATAAAACCACAAACACTTTTGCACCAACCTAAAAGAAAGCTTCCCAGTTGGCACTAATGGTAAAGAACCGCTTGCAAATACAGGAGAAGACAGAAGAGATGGGGCTTTGATCCCTGGGGCTTCCCTCCAGGAAGATCCCCTGGAAGAGAGCATGGCAAGGCTTTTTTTTAACTTTTTTATTAACCAACTTGACTTTTTAGAGCAGGCTTAGGTTCAAGGTAAAACTGGGCAGAACGCAGAGTTCCCTTAAGTGTGGTGCAGTGCCCCAACCTCCACCACTGTCCACATGCCTTACCAGAGTGGGACATTTGTTACAATCCACGAACCCACACGGGCACATCATTATCACCCAGAGTCCATTGTTTAAGATTCATTCTTGGCATAGCACATTCTGTGGGTTTGGACAAATGTATAATGGTATTGTACCACATAAAATATTTTCACAATTTATGGCATCTTCTGGTATCCATTACCCATTAGCACAGTTTATGGAGTGCTGCCGTATGCCCTGTGCTCTTCCAAGAGCTTTTCGTTTATTTTCACCACACCTGTAGGAGGCGGGATGAGAAGGGACATGCCTTGACCTAGATCACCCACCTAGTCAAACATGAGCCAAAATTCCACGCTGCTGCTGCTAAGTCACTTGAGTCGTATCCGACTCTCTGCGACCCCATAGATAGATGGCAGCCCACCAGGTTCCCCAGTCCCTGGGATTCTCCAGGCAAGAACACTGGAGTGGGCTGCCATTTCCTTCTCCAAAATTCCACGCTACCATCGCTTAATCCCAGTTTCTTCTGTGTATAGCGGGGCTTGGAAAAATAACCATCCTCTTACTGTCAGTGGGACTGCATCTCAATAGCAGAGAGACAATCACTTAATGAATTCTTAACTAGACAATTCTGTAGGATCTTAGGGATAAAATATAACTCGGCTCTAATAAACACTTCACACTCCACTCGCGGTGGTGCGCACAGCGAGGCACGAGCGGGAGCCCTCTCCTAGCCCAAACTCGTCACTCCAGCCCTGGCCCGGCATTTTAAAATTTAAAAAAAAAAAAAAAACCTGAATAGTTGTTTCCACATCAAAACACTGCTCAAGAATCATCCTCCCCAGCACCAGTCCACAGAAGCCCTCCTTTTCCCCTTTACCTCTAGCACTTTCACGAGAAATGCCTCCTTTCCTGGTGTCTTCCACCCATCTGCAACCGCTGCTGCACTTCCTACCACCATCTCTCTCCTGTTTACCGGGCTTCCTGTTAATATTGCCCGGGTATAGTGCCTGGGGCTCGGGAAATAT